AGATGTTGCGACACAAATACATTTCCCTCACCTTTTCACTAAAACCAACATCAATTAACTCTAAATCCCAGATTCTTTACGCAGCAGCAGACAGCTTATACCCTGAATATGTAACATCAAAAAGGCTCACACAAATCAAATATACATGGAGCTCACTCATTAATTCAGGCAGAAATCATAAAGGTAGTGATTTATTTAATCAAGTAGCAGCCCGGTGGTACAATTCTTTATTTGGAGTACTATTGTGCATCAGCAGTCTGAGGTGGAGTCTGTGTGTGTAAAGTGGATTTGAATAATACTAAAATATGGTACATTTTCTCTCTCTTTTCACTCTTTTCTTTAAAAAAAAAAAAATTAAAGTAAACTAAAAATGTTGAAGCCCCTGAGTTTAATGTGAAAAGCTTGTTCTTCATTATATTCACAGTTTGGCATACACATAGCTGTCTAAAGGCAGTTATACCTGACGTCTGCAAACATGGACAGAATACAGTCACCATGTGATCCATTTGGCACATAAAGAGACAACGTGATGAGGGTTTGACACTAAACACTGAAAACACAAACACATCCGTGTGATCTGGCCGGGCTGGGAAGAGTCGCCACGATCTCCCAAGAGTCCAGCTGAGGGTCGTATTTCTCAATGCTCTGCAGATAGGTCCCTTTGGAGTAGGAGTATCCCCCCGTTACATAAATACAACCATTGATTACCACGGCCCCGCACTCCATCCTCCTCTCCTTCATCACCGATATTGGCCTCCATTCGTCTCTCTCCATGTTATAGCAGTCTGCGATGGTCGTCTGTCCGCCCACCAAATACAGCATGTTGTCCAGAGACACAGAACACAGCCCGTACTCTGAAAACAGACAATTTCAAATCAGAATACAGCATTTTTAGGATGTTTATATTTCCATCCCCTCTCCTTCTTCTCATACCTGGATGAGGAGTTATCGTAACGATACTCCACTCGTTGACATCTGGCCTGTAGACTTGGATTTTGTCGTAGGTGCAGTTTCCTCTGTACCCATAGTGACCTCCGCTCACATAGATTTTATCTCCCATTACACAGGAAGTGGCATTTCCTACACCTTCGAAGGAAACAGAGGTTATAGGTGTCATCTGATCACTCACATCTAGAAATGTTAATTACTTAAACCTGCATTAATTGATTTTCTTTGACCATTTGGGGGCGGCTCAACAAGCTTTAAACATCAAACTGACGTACTTTTTATAGTCGATATGGCAAACAGTTGTTTATTAACACATTCAGATGATCCAGAACAACTTTATGATTAATTTGGAGTCATTTGGTAAATGTATCTGGAATATTCACTCTTCTTTCAGCTCTGTTTTTCTCTCCACAAACTCCTGAGAACCATTCCTGGCTGCTAAATACTCCACTATGTTCACTAGCTAGCTAATTAACCATCCATCCTGTTTGCCTTTTGGAGGTGAGCAGGTAGCACACAGTCGGTCCGCTACCTGTGTCTGGAATCAGGGTTGATGATGGTGGTAAGAATGAGTCAAAACAAAAACAAAAACAATGAGCTGAAAGACGCTAAAAAGCTCTGTAGATACATATACAAGTAGTCACGTGATCCAGTGTTAATATAAAACTACTGATGTGGGCTTTTAAGTTGTCAAAACTATGATAATATGCATGTTTTTAAACTCAGTTTCTTCCTAGGATTCAGTTGTCATAACAACTGGATCATCTCCATGACAACTGAGCAAATTCCATCCACTCATGAGGCTGAAAGCTCAGACAGGAGAGTAAATGGACCTTGTGTTGAGACTTTTTGTCAAACGGCTGCTTCAGAGGTCAGAAAGTGAACCTTTAATCTTATTTTTGTTTAGTGTGGTGTTTCCAATAAACCTGCGTCGACACAACCAGGTACACGAATACACTCTGACTTTCAATCAGTAATCAGCACTCGATACAAACAGAGAAGCATTAATCTATTAAAGATCAAAGTTCATGCTTGACCTTGGAAAAAGCAAAACAATCTACTCAAAAAAAGTTCCATTTGGAAGCTGAGCAGGAGCTTTTGAGTCAAATCACATGACCTTCATGAGCAGACAGAAGGTTACGGATGAACTTTTAAGCCAACATGGTCAAGAAGTCCTTAAAGTGCTCAACATCTGCTGATGAAGATCACGTGATATGACAAAAAGCTCCAGAAGAGCTACTAAACGGACCCTGTAGTGAGATTGTTTCTTCTCCCTCCTCAGTTCATTAGCGCATAATATACACCACTTCATTTTATTTGCATACCTTGGATCATTTTGGCCACAGGGAACCATTTCTTTTTCAAAGGGTCATAAAACTCTGTCTCTTGCTCCGGAGCTCCTCCTCTGTAGCCTCCGATGGCATAAATACAGCCATGCAGAGCCACGGAGCAATGGTAGTATCTGGCTGTGATCATGGGGCAGCCCTGGGTCCATTCATCATAGTCACAGTTATACACTGAAACCGTGTCCAGAGCCTCAACAGTGTTTGTCCTATAACCACCAGTCACATAGATATTTGCTCCAAGTAGACTGACGCTGTAGCTCTCCCTTGCAGGATCAGGCATGTCTTTTCCTTGCACCCAGGTGTTGCTCATAGGATCCCATATGTGAACTTCACACAGAGGGTGCCAGTAATATCCACCAATGACATACATGCTGGAGGACACTTTTCTGCTTGCACACATCTCCTTGCCATTGGACCTTAAAGCCTGAATGATCATGGATTTAAATTTCCCTTCACTGTTCAACAAGCACCGTCTGTGCACCTCTAAAGTGGCCTTGAAGTAAACCTCATCCAGGTCCAGATGGATGCAGCGCAGCAAGTCTGCAGCGTGGTGAACACGCCCATCCGAGTCATTTGTCACCCATTTGGCCACGGCATCTATCAACACTTCATCCCTCTGCACAGTGAGGCTCTGGGCGGCCAACACGGACCTCACCCTCTCGTGATCCAGCTCCAGGAACTCCTCCTGCTGGACGATCTCCGTGAACCTGCTCAGCATCACCCTGCGGGCCTCCCTCTCCAGGCCCGGGCACAGGTGCAGCTGAGCAAAAGCGTGCATCCCCAGGCAGTTGTCCACATCCAGGAGGCGCATGAGGAACTCCTCGCACGCCTGCTTCACGGACACGAACTGCAGGAGGTCCGCGGCCTCCAGCAGGCTCTGCACGTTGCTCTCGGTGATGCGCACCTGAGCCGAGTACACATAGTCCAGCAGGGCACCCAGAACCGCGCAGTCCACCCCGCTCAGCTTGATGACGCTGTTTGACCTCTCCCTCATATCAGCTGTGAACATGACTTTAAAATAGGAGCTGCGGGCCGACAGCAGCGCCCTGTGGCAATGAAACACCTGTCCGGACTCGCCGCATTGTAGAGTCACGTCGGTAAACAGGCCACTGATGTAGAAGCGCCTGAGTGCGTCCAGGAGCTCCGCTGCGTGGTCACCATCACAGAAGTCGTACGTGTAGATCTCAGCCTGCTTATGTGACATGGTAGGCCTATCTGTGGGTGATGTATGAAAATGTGTGTGCAATCACACAACCTGCTGCACAGGAGAACCACAGAGCAGAATAGTGGTGTCACATTTCTAATTAATTGATGTTTTAGGATACAAATACCCCCCCCCTCTTATTTGCCATTTAATTCACAAACAGAGCACAGTAGGCTTACCTCTCATCCTATTTCCATGAAGCCCCCCCGTGCTGGATCAACAGACACTCCGCAGCGTCCTATCTGTGAACGCTCCTCTCCAAAAACACATGAACCTCAATTTAGCTCATGCAGGACGGTCGCAGGCAGCCCTATCCTATTTTGGTATTTGTGCGCAGCAGCGGCCATCCCCCTCCTCCTCCTCCTCCTCTCCTGCAGCACACACTCCACCAGCAGGTCCTTGACACACACACACAAAAAAAAAACCCAAGCAACCATTCAAGAGGAGTCAACCCGCTAGTTTCTCTCCCAGAGCCTAAATATAACCTCCATCCGCACAGTCCCGTGATGCGCTCACGTACGGCGCATTAGTGGAGCCAACAGGCGGAGACACCATCACTAACTGAATACAAATCTCATACAAATGAGCATCGCCTTTTCAGTGCAGCACAAACAAGAAACCATTGCACTCTTCACCATTCATGCCTCCCCCCCATTCTTGTCGTTGCCATGGCATTCTGAATCCAGTTCCAGTGTGGCCAAGGTTTTAACCCTAATCCGGACCAGGATTAACAGCACAGTGCTTAATATTCATGCCTGCACATGATCTCGGAGATATGAGTGCGTGGACTGGTTTTGCGCACAGGAGAGTTATGATCAGTTAAATCCTTTATTTAATTATTTAAAGTCACACAGTGGAATGTGGGGCTTAGTGAAGAGTGGTCGTGTCAGAGGGGCACATTAGTATACCTATAGATGGTGCATTAAGCATTGTATCCAACCTTCACCAGGTCTAACATTGTGCAGTCATGATATTGATTCTGTGTCATAAAAGGTGTCTCTCTTCTCCATGTAATGCAAGCTCTGTTTATATTTGCATATTTTCTTTCACTGCTTTCATTGATTTTATTTTCAGTGCTCTTATTCTTGACCTCTGTGCTTTCGGGGGCTATGGATAAAAATGGGCCTTTCTGGGTAACTTCTAGCATATTTTCTAAAATGTTATTAATATGCACCATCTCTGTCAAATAAAATAAATAAAAGGTCTTATTGCTTCATACTGTCGGGTAGTTTTACTGGACATGGATCATGTTTTATGAGCTTGTTTCACATGAAAAATCTGCACAGTAACCAGCTGTCATTTGGATATATGAGCCCCTGTACAATGTAATGTGATCAAATACTGTAAACTATCATCTAAATAATAAAAATAGAGTTGAAATATATGTCATCCCACACGAATACTGGACATTGTAAACTTTAAAAATGAGTACTACCAAGTATAGGATTAGATTGATAGAGTGGCAACTTGTTCACTGAATAAAAACACACTTCACAATTGTTGTAAACGTGTACTTTATTTTACATATCTGCTTTAAAAAGGTCAAACAACAAACTGAACAGCACAAGACACTGAAACGTTTCATTAAGCTTAACTTCAACAAAGTGCATGTAAAGCATCTAAACACTGGAATGTTATCAAAATGCAAGTTTTAAACTGCAAGTGTTCAACTTCTAAACAAGTTGTTAGTTGTAAACTAGACAGATCAATTAGGGCAAGTCACTCTTTGAGAATGTTTAGATTTTTATTATTATTTTTTTTTAGATAAAGGCTGCTGTTGTTTAGATGGAGAGCTGTGCTGCCTCCTTAACTGAAGGCTTCAAGGCACTGAGGTCTCGCAGGAGAGAGGACACCCCCACGCAATACCACAGATCCCCAGCGCGGTCTGCGGGAGCGCTGAAGGACTCAATCTCCACTCCCTCTGCGGCCAGCAGTCCTACACAGAGAACAATTGGAGAGAGAGAGAGACAGAGAGACAGAGACAGAGAAAGTTATAACTCAAAACCACCTTTCATCCAAACAGAAAGTCACAAAGCAACAGTGGCCAAACAGCAGTTTGTGCTTTATTTTGACAAAATGATGCCAACAGTCACTGCAAAATAACCATTAAACCACATGATCACCTAAATCTCCCCCTTCAATTTCTTTAAAGTGAGATACATTTTGTCCACACCGTCTGAAAACATCACATACAATACTCTGGATCTTCCTGTTCCACTGAAGCTATATTCAATCTCTGAAGAGGCTGATAGGCTGTATAACTACTGGAATAATGTGTGTTGTACCATTTACTTCAATAAAAGTAGACTTTGTTTATCTTGTCAAATCCAAAATTAGGGACATGTATTCATATTAAATTCAAGATAATTATATTTCATATTACATCTCACTCTAGAAACCAAACACTTTAGTTGCACAGTTAACAGGGTCCAAAATTAAAACCCACCAAGCACCAACTGTGGGTAACTTTTGGGTTTGGCAGAAACATGAAGTGGGGTCACTGGCCAGATGGTCAGCAGGTAATTTCTCACTGCACATAATAAATAATAAATCACTGCAAAAGGCCAGATTTACATTGCTTTTTAATGTGTACCGACTGAGACTAATGTGATCTTCACTCTATCATGACGTAAGCAAATCAAATCAAAGCAGCTTATTACCAGTCAGTGCTTTCCACACAATGTCAGTCTGTTTTTTCTGTAAGCCACATTTCATGTTATTAGAAACGTGGCGACAATTTCCCGGCATTAAGCCGCCAAAAGAAAACTTGGAGACAAAGTGAAAAATAAAGAAAATCATGGAGGTTGGTGTGTTTTTGCACAAGACGGTGTCTGATGCAGTTTTATGGCTGGTTACTTTGCTCAGTTTACCCATCATTTGGACTCCGACGGCTGAGAATATATATTCTTACTACAGTGTCAATATTCCATGAAATGGCTCAACAAATATTCTGGTGTACAGGGGATCAGAAATAAGAACGGTTGAATTTTGATGCATTAAAGTTTGCCAACTTTGTCTCAAAAGGAGGCAAAATGGATTATTTAACTAATATTTACCCTGATTTCTCCTGTATTATACAGAACATGATTTGTCGGGGATTTATGATTTTTGTTCTAGACATTAAAAAAAAGGTCTGAAAGTCTGATGGTAAAAATTATTTAAAATGCTTATGTGACTTTGTGAGGTCCATGCAGCCTGGGCATAGCTGTATGTTTAACAGAATTATGAAAACTTCATTGCTTCATATTTCACACTTTAATTGAATGTAATGGTGCACCTTCATAAATAGCATCTCGTTTTAAAGCAGGTCTATTGACACTGTATGATGGATTTCTGTTGGTTTTTCTGTGGAACATTTTGAGGTTTGAAGGAGGAGCTGAATCTCTGTTACAATGCGTGTGTTTCATACTTTAAATAGCTGAAACATTATATCAGTTGACATGTCAACAAATGTGTTTGCATGTCTGATCCATCCAGTGTGCGTTAATACAAAGACTGTAGCCATCAGTTATGACCTTAAAAAACTAAAACCAACATTATATTGTTAATTTGCCCCTAAACTTTAGTGGGTAACTGCATTATTTTAAAGTGTCTCACCAGCCACTGAGGATAGGAGCTGAGGACTCGCAGAAGCCTTGAAGAACAGCAGATTTCCAGCGAGAGAGACCGGCTGTCTGAACACACTGTCACCCAGCTGCAGCAGGACTGGCACGCCACCTTGAACTGAACCACTGGCTTTGTAGCTGCAGCTGTTGGCCGTGAGCTCCACCTTGCACACGTCACCGGCATTCCCGTCAGACACACAGTGGGTCTGGTTCACCTGAGCAGTCAATTCACATTAATAAAAAGATGATCTTCTGCAAACACACTTGTTATTGTCATGTTGCATTTGCCAGAATGAGTGGATGTCATACCTTGATTCCAGACTCCTTGGCTAGGCTCAGTACATTGATGAGATTCGGGCAAAAGCCAGACTCATGATTTAGCAGTCCGACCAGAACCGATGAGGTCATGTAACCAGTGGAAGACTTCATGCAATCCCCTGGGATGAAGAAAGCATTACGTAGTGTTTACTTCCACTACAAGCAAGTAAAAAACATTTCAGAGCAAAAATTGTTGATTTCAGAAAAACAGCACAAGTATATCTTCATAATTTACTATAATAGTTTGGCCTGTTTCACAATCATACCACCAGAGGGAGTAAAAACACACCATTACAAATATTATCTTCCTAGGATATGAATCCCCCACCCCTTCGGGTCCCTGGTTACACAACTGGTTAGACCAGTAGTGTTACCTTGAGTCGTGATTTCGACACGGCTGAAAGGTTTCTTAGAAGTAGTGCATGACTGCAGTACAGCTCCGACAGCTTCTCCGAGTTTGATCAGTTGGTGAGACTCCTGGGAGAACGTGCTGGCCAAAACCTGTGCGTTTACCTAGAAAGGGAAAAAAAAAGGAGAAGACGTGGAATCGAAAGTGCTTCTGTGAAGTGAATGAGATCATACATTTTTAAAACAGATGCTCCACATCTCACCATCTCTGGCCGACTCAATAGTGATACGTCGATTTCATTTTAATGGAAGGCTAAGAGACGAGACCCACATTACAGCCATGAAGGGCACTCTCTCTCACCTCAGACCATTTTCATTGTCCACTTAAAATGCTACGAGGTTTATAATTTATAAGTACTTCTTGTAAACATCCTCTTTATACATTCCTCATTAAAAAAGGTGCCTTTTGACAACTTTCAGATCACAGATTTAAATTAGAGTGGCAACCAAGTGCACTGGATACTGTACATGGGTCTTAAGGTCAATTTAGTAATCAACAAACACAGTCTACACAATCTTGAAAGATGGTGTGATGTGACCAAGAAAGTTTTTCCAACTGTTTGCAAGATCAAGAACTAACTTTCAATCAAACTTTAGCCAACATGGATGAAAGATTCCTGAAGAAATGTTTTTTGTCATTCCTGTGCAGCCATTTGTTATCACTTTTCAGCTGGCATATACAGTAATCCAAACACATGCAATAAGTTGGTATTGGCTCATATATTGGCTTTACTTCTTAAAGCTATGCAGGCACTGAATGGAAGAGATACTTATTCAGTGAGCTCGTCATAGAAAGATACTGATGGAACTTGTGATTAGATTGTTTTTTCCAACTTCATAGCTGATGTTTTTACCCATTAACGCACCTTAAAGAGGAGAGCAGCTGATCAAAATCATTTAATGACCTGTGGTAGTTATTTGGCTGTAATGAAAACATGGCATTAGGACATACAGAGTGACACATGGTCCAGTAGATGATGAAACACCTTGAATATAGGATTTTACCAGGGTCCAAAATGAACACCCAGCAAGCGCTAAATGCAGGTTTAATTTGGTGGAAACATAAATTCATGTCACCAGCCAGGTGGCAGGTAAATAGTCTTGCAATTTAAATGCCTATGAAGTAGTATTTGTATTTCTGTAAACTTGTTTGTTTCTCCATTTAGCTCAGCTTAATCTCTCCTGACTGCTAACTATAGTACCTTATGGCTAGAAATTAATTCTAACAATCCTTTTTTAACTTCAAATCAAAAGTTAATTTATAGATAAAAAAACAAAATAAACACTATCAAAAAGATGACATTGATATTTTTTTTAATTTTTTGCTTTGTAAGCATGTGGACTGGCAAGACATAATGCTTACACAGTCCTCATGTAGTATGTTGCTGATGCTGATGCAGAACTGAGCTCACCTTATGTTGTACCAAAAGAAATAAACATTGTCATTAAAGTTAACTGAAGCTTTGGCTCAAAATGTGTCATTAATCTTAAAGTTCTGTTACCTTAAACCCTTGGATTTACAATACATGATCATTTTCCTTGTCTTAAGTAGAACTACTCAGCAAGTGGAAAATAGTTGTATAATGTTTTGTGGTTTATCCTTTGAGATACAGGTTTTGTAATAACAAAGGACTGAGAAGTAATTTCTTTGAGGGGAAAAAAAAGGGTCTAAAAACACTGAGTAGAACTTACTGCTCCAACCAGCTTCTTGCCCTGCACCATGTCCACAATCTGCAGAGCAATGTCCTCCCCACAACGAGCCTGAGCCTCCTTCGTACTGGCTCCCAGATGAGGACAGCTGATGACATTGGGGTGGTTGATCAATGAACGCTCCTTGGGAGGCTCCTGCAGCAAATTTGAGTTGTAAAAACAAATACATATAGTTACATACAGTAACTTGTGACCAATAAAAGACAGCAACTTTAGATTATTTGTGAGAGGACATGCTCCAATAGTCTTGCCTCAACAAAGACATCCAGCCCTGCGCCTCCGCACTGTCCGGACTCCAAAGCTCTGACGAGAGCAGCCTCGTCGATGATACCCCCTCGTGCACAGTTCACAACCTTCACTCCTTTCTTGCATTTAGCAAACGTTTCGTCATTAAGCAGACCTTGGTGGGGAAATTTAAAAAAAAATGATTGAAAAAGAAACTCCACAATTTAGAAGTACAATTTATCCTCCCAGTCAAACTCACCAACAGTAGAAGGCATTAGGGGAGTGTGGACAGTAATGTAGTCACACTGGGGCCAAAGCTGCTCCAGAGACATCTGCTCCACCCCCCAGCTGGCCGACACCTCTGGAGGAGTGATTGGATCGTAGCCGATAGTCTAAGAAGAGACAAAAAGAAACTCATCTTTCCATTTTTTTTTTAGGTAAATATTATAGTGCAATTAACCACTGAGAAATGTGAGCACACAGTCTGGTTGTGCAGAATCTCATTACTTACCCTCATGCCAAATGACTGCATTCTTGAGGCCACTTCCTTCCCTATTCTGCCGAGTCCAACTATTCCAAGTACCTTGCCAAACAGCTCGGCACCCATGAACTGTAAAAATTACAAACAAAACAATGACCCCCGTCCATGAAATCCAAAACAAAACAATGACCCCGGTCTATGAAATCCAAAAACAAAACAATGACCCCCCAGTCTACGAAATCCCAAACTGCACCAATCGAAGTGTCACATCTGATCAGCGATGACCGGTTGAACAACGGAGCCGGCCATGCGACAGTAAATCGCTTTGTGTGCCGACTGTTCAAACAAGCACACAGGCACAAACTAAAGTCCTCTGGTCACCTTCTTGCGATCCCAGTTGCCCTGCTTCATCGACATTGCAGCCTGAGGCACATTTCTGAAGAAGACAATGGTGTAATAATTGGCACTTTTACACTACTTCAATGCAATTAAAAAGACTGCTGAGCATGTTGACAATTGTGCATTAAAAACATGAATCATCTTGCCTTGAGAGGCTCATCAGCAGGGCACACGTCAGCTCAGCGGCACTGATTGTGTTTCCGCTCGGCGTGCTGGAGAAAACAGTCTACAGTTAATGGACAATACGTTATACTGAACCCAAAACGTGTGCGCAGACCGGAGACTTACTTCATGACGATAATACCCTTTTTGGTGGCAGCATCAACATCCACATTGTCCACACCGGTCCCGGCTCTCCCAATGATTTTGAGATTATCAGCGGCATTGATAATGTCGGCTGTTACCTTCGTTGCAGATCTGACCACGAGGCCATCGTAGTCCTAGGACGGGGAGAAGAGGAAACGTTAGATCTTATGGTGTTGTATATCTGTGGTTAATCTACTCAAGGTTACATTATCAACCACACAAAGTGGTAAATTTGCTCGCTGGCCTCAAACCTTCAGAGGCACAAACTGGACCGGAATTTAAAAAAAAGGTTCTGTATCCTTTTATTCTTGGTCCAGAGCAAATTAACTACAGGTGTAGTACAAGCAATGTAACTGACACACAGCAAACACGAGGGCAGGCAGTGATTGTTTACTTAAGTAAAGGTAGTCATACAACAGTTCATTCAAATTGTACTGAAGTAAAAGTACAAAAGTATTAGGATCAAAATACAGTTACAGTACCAAAAGTACTCATTATGCAGAATGGCCCATTTCAAAAGAATATAAACATTACAGTACTGGATTATAATTATTGATGCATTAATGTGTTTATCACTTTAATGCTGCAGCTGGTAACAGTGGGGGTAATTTCAATTACTTTATATAACTCACCTGCAGGGTAGCTAGTGAAAGTTTTTATCCTAATGGATCATTTCACATCACAGAAACGTGTATCTGGTTCTGCACGGCTCTGTACAGCAGTCAGATTATGTTTGTATGCTTATTGCCAGAATGTGCATTTAAAATAAGCCCCTGATAGTTTTGTGGATGTGCACACAATGAGAGAGTTAATTTCTACATGGAACAAAACTCAGCTACAGCATGTGTTTGATCTCCTCTCAGAGTACAGCAGAGTGAGCTGGGGAGGGGCAGTACAACAAGATGGGTGCGCAGCTAAATACCGTCCCCAGTGGACCTGTGGTTGTAGAGTAAATGGATCAGCACAAGACAAAAATACTCAAAATACGTTGCTGTGTGAGGTGGTAATAAAGTGTGTGAACCTCCTCCTGGCTTCACTTATGTATAAAGTGACAGAAAGTTTACAAAAATAAAAATGTAAAAGAATCTTAAAAAGTGTAGTTTAAGCACAGTACTTGAGTAAATGTACTCAGTTACTTTGGTGCTTTCTGAGATTTAATGAGTTAGAGGCCCACAGCTGACTTTAGCTTCAGGGGTTAACAGTGGTTTAATCCAGCACTGACTCTCCTACACAAACACAAAGAATCACTGCGTCGTTTCCAATCTGACCAAACTTATCCGAACAAAAAGTTAAATATTTGTTTGTGCATTAAGCTGATAAAGCCTGGTAGAGCCTGGTAAAGTGTGCAGCATGTGGCGCTCAGAGAAAGTGATGAGGGGAACCGGCAAAGTGAGGGATGAGTTGCATCAGCCTCCCCGGCTCCCGATGGGCGGTGCTACCGTAAAACAATCCCTCCTCACACCTTAAAACCTGCAGATACGTGTCCTACTCTTGTGCAGTGTGCACACTCAGCTCACATTAAACCTAAATACACACGGGTTGTGTCTCTTTTATAATGCACAGATTTACTCCGGACAAGTGAAGCGGAAAATCACACGAGCTTTAAAAAGAAATAAAAATGATGCGAGTTTAACTTTTTTTGTAAAAACAGGCGCACGTTGCGCAGGAAAGAAAAAAAAACCGACATCCGGCGCATGTGAGAGCAATTATGTAATCCAGAGTGCCAACAACTTTACCTTAATCTCCGCGATTAATTCATCCTTTTTCATATTCTGCTTCTCCGTGACTCGGATGCCATTTTCCTCCAGAATCGCCCTGCAGCGAGGGTCCACACTCTCACTGATTAACACACTCTTGATGGAGATCGGGGCCATCTTGGAGGGGCTCTCTGTCTCTCTGGCTGCTGCTCGGTGGGCAACTGGCGTTCAGTGGATGGTGCCTTCGTGAAAGTGATGGACACGGGAAGTTTTTTTTTTTCCCTCTGTTGGTTTTGAATGGTTATCTGGGATTTAAGACAGCCCCCTTTTTGACAGTAAACCCGCCCCTCCTGCATCTCCTGTTCTGACGTAACCTAAAGGAGGCCCCATCTGTACTGGAAACCAGTTCAGAGCCACTGCTGGGGCCCAGTTTCATTTGGTTGTTAGTGTTATCAGCAGAACTTTACTTCATGTATATATAAAAATGAAAAGGACTTATTAAGCATGAATTGTACTGATGCATTAACACGTTTATGCACTGGGGGATCTGGAGGGGGGCTGCATATAATGACATTAGATCTGAAACTGTTTAAACTTATAATCACTATCTCCTTTTTTTAAATACAGATTTACATGTAAACACTGGTAGGTATGGAAGGAAAGATATTTTGTCTTGTTTTTTTATTGTTTTATCTGATAAAAAGTTATAAAATGTGTGTAAAATGTTGTTAAATATGCTTTAAATTATCATACTAATGGGAAAACTAAGAATTGCATGCATTTACTATGATGTCATTGTATAGACAGACTTTCTCCCAGCACCACCAACAACTCTGACTGACTCCCAGCATCCTACTTCACTTTTTCATGCCACTTTCTAAAGATAATTTTGTATTGTCCTTCACTACAACTATCTGACAGCTTTAGTTAGGCTACTAGTTACTTTAAAAAATTAAGATTTTGTTCACATGAAGAGTAATAAATTAAACTACCCAACAATTAATACAAGTACAGCTGAAAAGATTAGTCCATTACTCAATTAGCTGATTGACTGAAAATAAATTGCCAACTATTTTGATTAAATCATTTTTCATGTAAAACATTTAATCGTTCCAGGTACTGTGATGTCACTTTGGGCTCTGGGTAATTGTGTTGATATTAATCACTATTTGAAGAATTTTTACAAACCAAACAATCAATCCATCAATAGAGAAAATAATCAGAGGATTAATCCATCATTATGAGACTAAAAATAATCATTAGTTGCAGAAAAAACAAAAAATAGCTCCACCTCAATCAACTAGAACAGTAAAATCCTGCTTTATAGCTACGACAGAGTCATTTAGGTGGCTCCTTTATGAGGTTGCTATGGTGATACCATAGAGATGTAACCACCACAAACACACACAGTCAGTTCATACGAAGCTGTTGTAATGAAATATAGGTGAAGGAATATCACTTGTCCATCTCCCTTCATTTAACAGTAGATCAGGTCAGGCAAGTCCAAGTCTTAATTTAACAGACACAGTTCATCACCTGATTCATTAAGCTGCACATGACAGCCCCCTGATCTTAGTGTCAGCTCAGTAAGTCACGTCTGTCATAATCCAACTGTTATAGCTGCTTTAAACACCACATTGAAGACTGGTTGGCATTTGTTTGTATGCAGAATTTACACGAGTGTCCTTAAAGTATCTGTGTCCGCTGTGATGTTTCCATTACTCCACCCTGAACAGGCTCAGAGCAGGAAGGACAATCAGTGTCTGGAGTTGAGTATGAACCTGAAGCAGTTCTGCTGTTTTGCTATAAACCAGAATTTATTTTGTCATGTAACTTAGTTTACATGCAGAGAAAGCACGTTTTGGTTTTATGAATCTATGTTATCCAGTTAGAGGACCTTTTAATTCCATGTTCCTCTCAGCTGTAATACAGTGCGGCTTTAACGTATTGTAGGAATATACAGCAAGAAAAAGCACAAAACATAACTAATAAAAGTTAATTTTGACACAAATCAACTATAATAACACTAGAAATGTAAGTTGACAGGCAGTTAGAAGAGACTTTTTGTGATTCCAGTTACATATTCAGTGTATTTATCTGTTGTTTTATCTTTAATCTGACTGCGGGTTCAATGTTAGGCTCCAAAAATGCCTCCTGAGTTCCAGATTCAATGGAGAAGGAGCAAAGCAACCATAAAACATCCACATTTGACTGCCAGGATCCTGTTTTTTTTTTTTTTCTCCTTTAAAGTCATCAAGATGGTTTCTGTAAACGAACACAGAGAGGATGTCGTCTACTTTACCAAGAAAAATGTCTGACTTAGTCTCAGAGGGATTTTGGCTTTTGAAGGCGTCTCTCTCTCTCTCAGCAGTGGGATCCTTTAGTTCATGCTTTGAATTACAGACACCTGCAGCTGAACACAGGTGAGTTTAATTACAAATTTAAAGGCATCACCGCCTAATTTACTTAATTTTTTTGTAGGAACAAAAAAATACTTGTAAAAAAGTTTTAAATTAGTATTTTTCTGGAGGGAATGTTGCATTATCCGAAGAAAAAGAGCAAAGATGCCCACATTTTCGATGAGGGTGCTATGTAGATTAGAGCTCACATTTCATATAAAAGCAGACTTTATAAATGAGGCTTTACAAACAGCGCCACCTGTCGTCGACCAGCGGAACGGCTTCTGATTGGTTCAAGTGTTGCCTGGATACAAGGCAACAAATGCGGACCCTGACTCGGTTGTGTGTGTGTAAACCTGGAGAGATTTAACCCGAGTTAACAGGGGAAAGTTTCAATGTTTGGTAGCGTTTGTTTCTTCAATAACACAATATATAACGTTATATCGAATGACATCGGTGGTTCAGTACGGCCGACGGAGAGGCTCCAGTAAGAGAGGTAAGAGGGGTAAAGTTAACCTTACGGAAGCTGTTAGGGCTAATAAACATTATGTAGTCTGATATATGTGTATGTATATGTATATGTGTGTGTATGTGTAGTCAATAAGTCTTTAATTGTAAGAGCGGCTGTGAGATCCAGTAACATGAAGCATTATTCAGAACAATGTGGCTGTTTGATTAATGTACTTCCATTCAATGACATGCTCATGAGCAAACTCAGCCACTTTCAAAAGAAAATAACTTCCTGTGTGATTTTTTATTAAGCGAGATGTGACTCTACAGAATATGTTGTCTTTGGCCTTATCTAAGTTAGGATTTTAGTGCAACATCACCCCATTAAACTAGAATTTCCAGGATTGTTTTACCTCACTTTATTAAACATTAAGTTTAAAAGTTCACTCATAGTTTCTGTACTTGCTGTTTGAATGCTGCAAGTTATCTACTAGTTTTTGCCTATAAATAGACACATTTAAATTCAATTCGGAACATTTATGTGCAGTTTTACACACAGTATACATTAAGGAAAAAACATTATACACAAACAATAACTGTAAATACATAATAAATAATAATAAAATAGAAATACAACTCATAATTTTGGTGGCAGTGCCATGTAGTCAAATCTGATTATCAATGATTATCATAGGGTATACCGTCCATATTACTCTCTAAGCTAATTTGTAATGTCAAAAGACAATCCACTATATCCATCACCATAAATAATACAACTTATCACATCTGCATCCAAATCCATGTGTAATTATTATTGTATTTGACTATTTTAAATAAAGTCATAGACATAGCATTCGACTTACAGGAAGCCCTCTTAGGGTATATACAACTTTTTTTTTAAAAATAGTGTCTTCAGCTGAGGAACCCAGCAGGATGATGCAGCCGCCGGACCTCCGACAGGTCACTGTCCTAACCAAGGCTGAATGGCTGAGGATCCAAGATGAACTGAACCGGGTTAATAAAGACAAACAAAGTATGAGAGAGGCAGCGAAACAGAGAGAGGCCCTGCACTTGAAATCAGAAGAGGTTGTGAAACTGTGGTCCAATACCATCGCTGTAAGTTGCCTGTTCGTTTAACATTTGCTTTATTAAATTTAAAAGTGCTTGTAAGGCAATAGACTGCATTAAAGCAAAAGATAACACGCTGTATGTTTTACATTTATCAAAGGGTCAAAGGCAAAAAAAGCTGGAGGCAAAGAAGATTCGAGAGGAGATTGAGGAGGAGAAGAAGAAATTAACTGATAAAGAAGAGGCCGAATATCAGGAGCAGAAGCGTAAAGAGGCCATTGAGAAGGCCAAGACTCAGCTGTATTATCAGACTGACCGTGTCAAAGGATTACATGTTTGTATCACTTGAGAATTATTATCACTTCTACATGTTTTAACCATACGTTGGAGTTTTGGGATTGAGTGATTGTGACTTCCTCCACAGCGTGCGCTCTTGCTGACGGAGGTGCTGAAGGAGAGAGAGGCTCAGATTGAGCTGAAGCAACGAATCAAGAGTGCCTCCAAAGATGTGGACAAAGACTTCTTGGACATGGTGAAGACCAGAGAGGATGAGGCCCTGAAACAGGAGCAGGAGAAAGCGCTTCAGAAAAAGCTCCAAAGACGAGTGGTTGTGGAGGACCTGAAAAACCAGTAAGTCCCACATCAGGCCCGAGAACCAGTCTTTGAACATGCTGTAGATGCACCAGGTCTGCACAGGATTAAAGATATCACAGTGCTCTCTCTGTCTCTATTGTATGGTAAAACTTACTTGAGGATTATGATTCCTTTCCTTTAGGATAAAGGAACATGAGACGGCAAGAGAGCGACAGGTGATAGAGAACAAGAAGGACGGAGAGGAAACCCAACATCTTAAAGAACTCTATCAGTGGGAGCAGAGAATGGAGGAAGAGAGACAAGCTAAGCAGAAGAGAGACCTAATGCAAGCTCACCTGGTAGGATCTTAGCAGCACAGGGTCATCTAGCATTTGTATGCTTATTTTATAACACACACATTTACTACTGTACACTCTGTATCTACAGGAGCATCTCACCAATAGGGACCTCATAAGGGCAGTGGATGCACAGAGACAGGAGGCCGAAGAGGAGCAAAGGAAACTTTTTCTCTCCGCAAAGCAAAAAATGATGAAGTTACGGAAAGACAGAGAGAAAGAACTGTTCAGGTAAGAGCCAGCAAAAAATAAATAAAAACACCCAGTGTCAGTAACAGTGACTCCACCGGCTGTCACAATCACACTTGTTTCATTCTTCAGAGAGGCCCAGATGTGCAGAGAGAAGATCACGAACAAACTGACAGTCACACAGCAGGAGCAAACCGTCAGCGAGGAGCAGAGGATTGCAAAGGCTGTCGCCGAGCAGGACGCCAAAGAGGCACAGCATCGGTGGCAGGAGGGGAAGAAGAGGGCAGCGATGCTCAAGTCGATCAATGCACACAGAGAATTCATGGTAATGCGAGTTTGATGGCCTGTAATTCAGTATGTATTCAGGGATGCACCAATAACAGGATCGGGTCCAATACTGTGCTCATGTACTCAATCACAACACTACTATGAGAAAAGTCTTCGTTAAACCTGTAATGGTATTAAGTAATCGTATAAGTAGTTGTACTGGTCTTATTGGTCTTTTATTTAGGGTCGTCACCTGTGGGTTCAAATAATGTTAAGTTGATCTGGCTGTAGTTTAAACTGTCATCACACCTGTAACACAAACTATGTTTCATCAGAGACAAGAAAAGGAGCAGAGGGACAAAATGGCAAAACAGAACGCCCGAGAGACACTTCTGGCCAAGAAAGAGGCTGACAGAATATTTACTGAGAAACAACAACTGAAGACTCGGAAGATGAAAGAAGATGAACGGAAACTACAAGACTTCAATGCCACACAAATGGTAAAGCTGTCTCCACGGCACATCGTTGCAAAAATTAACATTAGCCATGGCCCTGAAAACAAAACAAAAAAAACATGCTTGTCGTTTATCTTTCAGGCTGAGAAAAGCACCAAGCACCAGCAGCTGAGGAGAGACGATCTCGAGTTTGAAGAGAAAAACTCAGAACTCATTGCCGAGGAGGAAAATGAATTTCAGCAGTATTCACAGCACGTCATAAAAGCAGCGGCGGAGGCTCAGCGAAATGTGTTTCCACTTTGTAAAGCAGCGAGGGAAGGGGTCGGCGGAGGGTTCGGTCCCGTGTTCAATGGAGTCAGGGCTAGCTACCTTGTTCAGGACCGCACTGGCGCTCAGATGCCCAAATATGTCTCTGGCACCACCCAGAACATTAAAAAGCTCAATGAGGCTGAAGATATTGAAGAAGCAAAGAGGAGACTTGGATTTACGTGGTGATAGGGTGACAGGTCACTCCCAGCTGGCAAATTTAGCTGTTCCCCAGAAACTGACCATCTTTGAACACGCAGAATGTTTCAGTAACATCCTTAAAATATGTCTGAAATCACTCCCTCACTCACTACTCGGTATAAAATAGACACTCAATAGTTTGCTCTTTAGTGAACAGTAAAATGGGATTTTGGACACTAAGAATTATTTTGTCATCACTTACAGGTGAAGTGCTGCACAGCTTTTATGTTCTGATAATACAACACATTGCTTTGTGGGATAAAAGTGTCTGTGGGGTGTCTTTATGTGCAACTGCAACACTCATGTGCAGCCAGCGACCTGTCGTCTCCATGTCAAGTCATGGATACTGTTTTTTGTTTAATCCCATTGTGTAAATGTAGATTAGTATAGTATATATGTATGATATAATGTATGATTTTCACTCTTAGAGTGCACTATATAGTAAACAGGGAGTGATTTTAGACACAATCGTTAGCAGGGATGTTGCTACTTCTGTAAAGTTTCATATATTCTGTAAAGAAAGTAACTTCTGGTCAACATCCCCCAAAAAGCCCACAGTGAGAATGTCACAGTGAGAGCATTACACAGAGCGGCAACTCTGAAATTACTGACACAACAAATTGTTCTGTGAATGTTGTATATCAATTACCCCGAGACTCGTCGGGGCTAAAATGTGGACTGTAGTTGACGCTGAACCAAGCCATTAATCACCACGGCAGTGGATTGAACCCGACACTGGATAACAACAGTACAGTGCTTCCTGTTATCACTGTTGATTACTGTAACTTTGGATGCTAATAATGTTTGGGCCTCCAACAGATAGATTGTGTTTTGTGACAGCGTTTACAGAATATTAAACAATTTATTAAAATTAAAGTTGAGCCTTTTTAATTCATTCTTCACTGCAGTCGACTTTTTAAAACCAACTTGCACAAATCACAATTTATACAAATTGATTTTATGTTGTTCTTACAGAAAGACATTAACTTTTTTTTTCCCATTCAAAAACAAAACAAAAAAAACAACCCAGAGGTTTTCTCAGAACTGGTTAACAAATAAGATTACAGTACAAGGTCGTGGATGTACAAATGTACATATTTCATCTAACAATGACAGGGATAAGCATGCAAGAAGTGATGTTCTCTTTCAAATTGATTGATGCAGTAAAAAAATAAAATGGACAGGTAAACATCAGACAGTCCTTATCCCCTTCAACGACTGTTAAATCACATTAAAGGGGGCAACAAAGACATTAAAAAGGATCTCTGTTACAGTGAAACTTTAAATCTGCTTGTTATAAATTGTAGCTATTGTAAAGCCAAAATATAATTTACCAAAGAATCCACAATTTAAAAAAAGAAAAACGGACTTCCTCTGGTCATTAAAAAGAAAACCTGGTACGTTTATACTCGCTGCTAATGCAGTACACACTGCAGGTGAGTTGCTTTTTTTCAGTCACAAATCCATTTTCTCTAAACTGGCCATGCAGCTTCAGCTACCCATCGACAGTGTAATGCACTTAATGGGGGACAAATCTACACCTATTCAGTGCCAAAAGCTCAAAAGGACGCCGCAGTCTGCCTTTACAACAGCTTCTATCTTCAAGCATGGATTCTTATGTAATTAATCGGTTCTTAACAGCTTTGGAAATTTGGTTTGACAGACTTTTGTATCATGTTAGTTTGGGCTGAACCTTGGAGTGTTTTTTTTTTTTCTTTTGCACTGAATGAGGAATGTGAACAAGTCCCACTCTAGATGGAAAGCTGGTGTTGCATACTACATGTGTTGGCGGTAAAAAATAGGGACTTCAAAACTCCCCCCCCCCAAATCTATTCCTTTACGATATCATCACGGGCTCAGTCGCTGTCGGAGCTTGAGCTAGAGCTCGATTTATTCCTCCTGCTGTTGTTTCTGTCTCTGGCCTTCGTACTATCTGGTCTCGCTTTAGCCGGACTTCTTCGGTCTTTGGATTTGGAAGTACTTTTTGCTCTGCTCCGTTTGGAGTCTGGGCTCTTTTGACTCTTCCTTTTCCCGTCTCTATCACTCTCAGAGCTGCTGCTACGTCTTCTCCTTTGGTTGGTAGCTTCTCTGTCTTTGTCCTTTCTATGAGATGACCGATCTTTGCTATGGTCTCTCTTGTTACTCTTGCTTCTGGAGCGCCTGCTTCTGTGCGAGTCTCTAGGCTTGTTCCTGTCTGGACTTCTGGTTCGATGTTCCTTATCCCTGGATGTTCCTCGCTTCTTACTCTCCCTGTCACTGTTGTGTCGTCTTTCCTGACTCCTGCTCCGTTCTCTGCCCCGCTCTCTGTCTTTTTCTCGTTTGTCTTCTTTGTCTTTTGACCCTTCAGGTCTACTCCTGTCCCTGTTCCTGCTACTAGATCTGTGCCCATCTTTTGTTGTCGTTCTTTCCTTGCTTCGTGACTTTGTCCTAGTCCTCTCACCATTTCTTCCTTTGGTGTCCTCTTTATGCTTTTTATCAGACTCGTGGCCCTTATTTCTATCTTTACTGTTACTAGATTCTGACTCCTTTTCTTTCTTACTAGCGTTTCGGTCTTTGCTCCTTGAGCGACCTTTTCTGTCGTCACTTTTGTGCTTCTGAGCCTTCTCTCTGCTTTTTGACCGCCTACTCTTTTCCCTGCTTTTACTGCGGCTTTGAGATTTATCCCTTTTCTTTGCCTTGTGTTTGCTTTGCTTCTCATCCTTCTCAACAGTGTCCTCTTCTTTGCTTTTGGATCTATGTGACCGAGTTTTCTTGTCTTTTTTACCCTCAGACGCGTGTTCATGCTTTGTGGTGGAGGTCCGTCTCTCTCTTCTTGGAGTTTTAGCAGCCTCTTCCTTGGCCTCATTCATGTCACCTCTGTAAAAAAAAAAAGAAGGTGTAAAGGAATAAACGTCACCTACAGAACGTGACAACTGACATCAGGAAACATTATGACATTGTTCAATAACGTGGTGAGCCAATTTGAGCCATTTCTTTGTTAGACAGGTCACTCCAAAAGTTAAGAAAATCTGCTTGCATAACATGTTCACAGTTTAATGACACATGGTCGGACCACCATAAGAACTACTTCTAGCCAGGCTGACTGGGAACACTGCGTTTACTTTCTCTTTAAAAAGTCAAAGTGAGGTTATCTTACCTGTCACCCTTAATCCAGCGCTCTCCAGTTACCGCCCTCATCCTCTGACGGTGCATCTCCTGACGCCAGTGTGGAGGGGTTTCACTGCGTCGGAAGCGGTCTCTGGACCTCGAACGAGAGCGTGACGGAGTTCGATACCGCTGGATGGGAGAAATGACAAACCACTTACTGACTGGAACCAACGCTGGTCAAGATAGAAATCTGACAAATCTGCAATGATGTTTCACTGCATTATAAAAGCAACTCAACACATCCCTCTCTCATGAGCCACATTATAAAAAGTGGACACAATCGCAGTTGCAGTGCACCTACCCTTGGACCCCTGCCTTTTATCTTCCTCCCAGATCGTGTCATCACCAGTCTTCTGTGATAGGCTGACTGAGAATTATATGTTGTGACAGTACTAAGGATAGAAAAAAAAAAGGCAGGAAAATTAACTGACAATGTTATTACGTTTGGATGTTTGTCAAAGCGGCTGTTTGTCGAGCAGACTAACCTTTCTCTCGGCCTTTCCTCTTTATTTCGTTGATCCTTTTCAGGCTCCTCTTTTGACTTCTGGACCGCCTGGGGGCTCCTCCTCATGAGGAATCGATTCTCTGGGATAGGTGGAATTTCTTCTGGACGTACAGTAGATGTAACCAACTCTTCTTGTTCCTTCTCTTCAGCACTTTCAACCTCTGAACTACAAAGGCATTACAGGCTCAGGATAAAGACACTATGGACTGTTTACACTGTAGACAGTAAAAATATGAAGATAAATTCTGTACCTTTTCTTGTCCTTCTTCTTCTGTTTCTTTTTTAGCTTTTTTGCCTTCTTTTTCTTTTTCTTAGATTCTTTCTCGGACTCTTCAGAATCAGAGGAGGATTGTGATGAGCTCTCAGAGTCGCTGGAGCTACTGCTGGAACTGGAAGAGGCTCGCTCTTTCTTTTTTGCATCTTTCTTTGCTGCAAACATTTAAGAGTCTATTAGAAGCACTGCTTTATAAAATCAAAAAAAAATGACAGTTTTAAGTGTGAAACTTATTTTGAAAGTACTGAAAATGCTTCAAAACAAACCTTTAGATTTAGGGACGAGCTCTCCACAGTTCAAAACTTTCACCTCGGCATATGGTCTGCTATTAGGATCTGCTTTCTGGTTCTCCATGGTTTGGACAACCTCTTGGCCAGAGATCACATGACCAAATACCACATGGACACTGGGAAAACACAGTAGCTATGTTGGTCAAACTAAACACACTTGTACACGGTGCACTAGGCAATGGATCAGAATTTGAGATGGCGTCGAGCAGCACTTACCCATCCAGATGTGGCGAGGGTTTTGTTGTTCTGAAGTGTCGCAACAGGCCATTCAAGAAAAAAGGCATATAATTATTTGTACAGTTACAGAATGATCGAATAATGCATCAAACATATAATATGTGGAAAAAGACATTCTGCTTACATAAAAAACTGTGATCCATTTGTATCTTTGCCCCTATTGGCCATAGACAGCAGGTACTCCTTGTTGTGTTTAACAGCAAAGCTTTCATCTGGGGGAAAAGGATAAGATTGTACTGCCATCTTGAAGCCAACGTCGGTTTTGGATAACAACTGACAGCTCTGACAGTGGCCTCTTTACCTTCAAAAAAGCCTCCATAGATGGATTCGCCTCCTCTTCCGTTGCCTACGATACCAGAGAGCAAATAAAAACATAAGCAAGCAGGCTGCTACAGGAAGGAGATTTATGGTGTTTTAAGACTTGCTGGTTATTAAAATACATTGGATCTAGTTAATGTTATACTTGACTGAGCTATGTACACCAATCACAGCCTTTTTAACCATTAACTCACCTTCACTGAAGTCTCCTCCTTGAATCATGAAGTCTTTTACAATTCGATGGAACAGACATCCTTTGTAGTGCAGTGGTTTCTGGGTTCCTTTGCCAATGCCCTTTTCACCTGAATGAAAACACAGTACTCATCAATATTACACTGCCATGATGTGAAACAGTTTCTGGCATATTCTTGAGGAGAAAATGCATTATTCACCTGTGCAGAGGCATCTGAAGTTTTCACAGGTTTTGGGACAGATGTCTGAAAACAATTCCACCACAACCCTGCCGACTGTGAGGAAAGAGCGTTGTTACTTCCTTTAGTTTGGTTTAGCGTGATGAGAAATTACCGTCAGCTGTCAGTTTGTTAGTTGCATCTAGCTAAATGTAATGCTGTCTAACATAACACCCTTGCAAGATATCCTACTGGAACCCTTTAAGAGAGGTGCTGAATTAACTGTATGGTCACTTTTTAGTTTAATATTGGGGCTGCACATTATGGTAACACATCATACTGCAATTATTTTTACATACTGCGACTGTGATACAACCCACGATTCGTCGGCACGATTATTTATGTACCAAAATTCAAATTTTTACTTAAAAAAACCAATTAAAACTGGATTTGTTTAAGGAGGTCCTTACCAAACAAACACGTCATCTTAAATCTGGACAACAACACATCTCTACAGAACTGCAGTATTTCATTATAACGCTGTTCTGTCGGCAAGACTTGCATATTTCATATTTGTTAATATTTTGATTAATCGTGCAGCCCTGTCAATGACAGTAGATTCATTTTAGTACTATAAAATAAAAAAGAAACCCAACATCCTCCAAAAGGACCTTCTCAGTTTCAACAAAAACTGAACAGCATCACACCAATAAAAAGGGATATTTAATAAAAGGACTATCATACTGAATACATTACTTTTTACAATAAATCACCTAATAATCTGACAGCTCAGTGAATGAATGAATGAATGAATGAATGAATGAATGAGTGAGTAGTCAGAAAGTGGAGGTCTCTCTCTCTCTCTCTCTCTTACCGAGCACATTATTTATTCCGATGTCAAGGAAACACCGAGTGCGCTGAACCTTGATCCCCATGATCACCTCTATTGATCAAACACCTGGAGGGGAGAAACACAGACAACCCAAATGATCAATTACAACTTTTGCTGTTGGTAATTTACCAATATATAACTAGGATGTCAATTAACAGGCGGGATTTGCTGCAGACATACCGAGTCTGACCGGTTGAACGATTCATTTAAATGCTACGGATAATAACAACAACAATAATAATAATGAATCTTTAAAATATCCCGACTGTGAATCACTTAACAAGACATCAGATAAACAACATAAACGTTACACACTCAGTGAACACCGCGACGACCGCTGGGTTGAACGAGGCCTGCTGTTAGCATTAGCACGTCCAACTAGCCTCAACATGTAGAGGAGGGCTTCTTCTGTTTAACGCTAACCGCACGCTTCATACACACAAATATAACGTTATCTATATCTATATCACCGAGACGTCGTTATTAAGAAACCACACATCACCTGGAAACCCGCGGGAATCACTCCATACAGCGAGCAGCTCTCACTAAACGACGGACATTAAGTTTCATTCAGCGCTGCGCTGACTGTTTTTCTAAAGATGGCGCGGAAGAGACGTCAACGTATTTGGAGGACTGTGCGTCAGTCAACGCAGCGGGGCGCGATCACAGCGTGAGCGAGGGAGACCCGAGTCTCATCTGGCAGGTGCAGCGGTCCCTCGAGCTGTGTCCATTTACCGACTCACTGTAAGGGTTTATCTTTATTATTATTATTTTCTCGTTACAACCAAGTGGGGAAACAGGATGGGTTAATTATTCATGTATGTAACGGTTGCAGTATAGTCTAAAGCAAACTTAGAGCCGTGTTAAGCGGGAAACGGGGCTGTACAGTTGATTTATGGTTTCTATGAGTGATATAGAAAGATATAACTTGTGTGTGTGTGTGTGTGTGTGTGTGTGTGTGTGTGTGTGTGTGAGGTAGAAAAACATCTGAATTAATCCCTCAGAGGAACAATTGGTCGCGTATGAACGACCTTCCTCCAGCATGCAGCAGCTGCAGCCTGACAGTCAGCACCCAGGGGTTCACGGTACAACCTACATTATGTCACTGGCTACGGAAGTGAAACGCTGTAGCGCACATGCTGCGTAATTTTGACTTTGAATTTAAAGACACTGTTTAATTCGTGGTACATATTTAATGTTTTAATCTCTATAATCGGTAGACATCTAGCTATGAATCCAACCAGCAGGGTAAATCTGGGGTGGTAAGTCGTTTTAGGTGATTGTTTGTCCGTACACGTGATTACAGCGTTAGCAGACTGAGTTTATCTGCTGGTAGCACCTTCAGGATTAAAGGAATCACCGAAGGGAAAGTCAGGAAATCTCTGCATTCATAAATGAGATTACCCGTCTGAACCTGAAGCCAGCATATCACACTAAGGGGTAACTTCACTTCACTGTGGATTTAAAAAAATATATATTTTGTGCATACAATTAAGGTTGTAACAAAACATGATTTAACATATTGTGAAACAGGTTAAACTAATGTCTGTCTGTCTGTCTGTCTGTGTGTTTTTTTTGACACAGGTCCCTAAAGTAGCACCTAACGACCTGCAGACTGTACTTTCTGCTGCCTGTGGCTTTGACATTGAGGTGGACCCCTGTGTTGGAGTAATGAAGACCCCCAGTGCACATTCAATTTGAGCTGAGGTCTGTGGGGATGTTTCGGCTTCGGGGCGTGAGTTCCTTTCTTCGCAGGTGCCTTCACGTGGGGACAGCGAACCGGGACAAGGTTCTGGAGCAACTGCAGGTCTGCTCCGCTGAAAAGCAGCTGCTGGAACTGGTGGGCAAGAATAGGACCAAGCTCACCAGGGACCATGTGTGCTTGGCTATAGGGATGCTCTGGGACTTTCAGAGAGACAGGCTACATTATCAGCGGAACCTCAAGTACATCAGTGGGCACCCAGAGTTCTTGACTCTCCGCGTTTTGGCGGAGAACAGAGTTACCATGATAGATGATGTTATGTTGGTCGACATGCTTTACAGTTTGATCAGGTACATTAAGATACAGATGCAAGCAGTCAAGCGTAATGTATCTGAATTATTATAAGGTGGTATTATAACATACTGTGTTGTTGTCCATCCTTCAGGTTGAAATTGGAGCCACATAATTCTCTTATTCAGCAGCTGATTTCAGAAGGGTGGCGCAGATTAGACGGGTATGATTGCTTTTACATATGTTTGTTTATAGTTAATGAGATCTAGGGTTGCAATTAATTATCATTTTCATCATTATTGTCTACAAAGCCCAAAGGGGACACCCTTAAACTGCCTTCTCCTAAACCCAAAAATATTGTATAAACAGAGAAAAGCTCTCACATCTCCACATTAGAGACGATGAAACCAGCAAATGTTTTGTGTTCTTTTTCTTGAGGGATAAGTAAGATAAATTGGTGTCAAAATAAATTTCTTGTTGATCAGTTTATGGATTAAGTTTCTTGTTGTTTCAGCACTAATGAGATGTTACACAAATTTGGATTTTTTTTTTTTGCAGATTCTCAATGCCATGTCTGTCCAAGTTTGCCATCTGTCTAACTGATCTGCACCATCAACAAAGCCCTCTTATGGGCCAAATTGTCAGTATTCTGAGTCAGAGGTTGTCGTCTATTGATGACACCAGGTTGGTTGTGAGACACATACACAAATAAAAATACAAATACAAGTGCCTCATACTGTTTATTTACCATGTGGTCATGTTTTCCCAGGGTCCTAACTACACTGATGATTAGCGTGGCACAACTTGCGTCGCCGCGGCTTCAGGATGCCCTCATTATCAAGGCGGATCAGTTTCTAGACAGTGCCTCCTCTTTCAACGACTCGCGGAGAGTGGTGCAATTCCTGCGAAGCATCAGGAAGGTTCACCGGCCTCTCCTGGAGAAGTGCAACAAGATAATCTTGCATAACATTCACACTATGGGCGTAGATGATATTAGCATCATCGCGGGGATGTATCTGTTCTTGCAGATAAGCACCTTTGACTTCAAGCTGGCTATTAAAAAAAGACTAGTTGAACTGATTGATTCATGCAACGATCCTGTCTCCTTCACCAAACTGTTTGTCTCTCTGGCTCCGATAGCCAACGAGGAGATGATAGAAAGGTTTGTGTCATTATCAGTGGACTGATCCATGAGTGGAAATCTAAACCCTTTACAATGATTCTTGAGTCTCACAGATCTCCTATCTGGTTTCATCCCTCTTAGGTTGGAGAACCTTGCCTTCCTGTGGCTGGATGACCTCAGTGTACAGCAGACTGTGGCTATGATTGAAACTCTAGACTCGATTCGGTGCAAGAATCATGCCTTAATCCAAAGGTGAGTTCATATTTCTGCCATAGGGGAAAACCTGTATTGGTCATGCTCTAAAATTCGTTCTTGACCTTGGAAACATCTCCGTTACATAGTTTGCCTGTCAGAAAGCTCTGGCAAGCTTATTTTTTAATCGTAAAAAAAAAAAAAAAAAACTCCCACAGAGGTTTTATCTTGTTAATAAATAATTTTGAATGTTGTGTATTTTATGTTTTTTTATGTAAAAAGACAAATGTCCACACATATATTAAAATATGTATTTAAATATTTTGTAATATGTAATTATTTTCCAGACTTGTGTCAGCAATCGAACCCAACCTTTTAATCTGCAGGCCAATTGAGGTGGCCCGACTCACCCAATCCCTTTATCATTTGCATTACAAGAACCCCGAATTCTTCAGAAAATTAAGACAAGTGAAAATAAAGTAAGTGTTAATTTAAGCTAAGGAGTCAATTTTGCTTCACACTTAAATAAAACATTGACTGAAAACACTTTATGTTTCAGCCTTTTGGGCAGGACTGTTCTCCCCTATGAAGTGATCGCGATAATTCGTGCTCTGTCCCTGATGCCCTCCTCACGTCTTGAAGAGGATGTGATCAAACGAGTGGAAGCCGTGGTGAGCCAGTGCAGTTTCACCAATCTCAACACCGTCGCTTTTGCCATCGGCAAGTGGGTGCGTAAAGATGAGTCACACGGCATCAGTGCTTGCAGCAGCTGCGTCAGTCTGCTTCAGAACATAACCCACTGCGGGCTGAAAAAGCTGCAAGCGATTGACCGACTGGACTTGTTGTTGGACGAAGTCAAGCTCACTTTGGGACATTGGTTTGGGGAAACGCTTGTCGAAGAGATGGTAGACCTACTGCACAAGATGATTGACCAAATAAACTGGACCAATTTGCCTGAATTGGGCTTGTTCTTAACCAGGATAAACCATATCTGCCCTCTGCTGATGGAACGTATCGCCAGTGTGGCCATTAAAGACGTTGACAAGGTCTGAGAGACATCGCAGCATGTTAAGTCTGTAATAATTAAACATAGATTAACTGTGCTTTTCCTGTGTTTTTAAGATTCACCCCTCAGGAATATGTAACATCATGCTACCCTTCTCCTACATGAATTATCATTCTGTACAAGTAGACGAGATGTTTGATATTTATATCCAGCTCATCATTCGCAACATCAGTAAGTGAATCCGATTACACGTTTTATCTTATTTTAACCTTACACTAACACATTTTCTCTGTGTTTGTAGGTTTCTTCGACCCACACCTGCTAGTTTACATTGTAAACTTACTCGCTGAGGCTGACTATTTCCCTGAGCAACTAGTCAGAAAAGTCTTCAGTGTAGACTTCCTGTCAAAGCTGGATGCCCAACTAGAAAGTATGTTACCACTTTGCTGTTAATGTGCATCGGTAGCAAAGTACACATCTTTAGTATACTCCTGTAAGCAGTTCACACTTGTTCAATAGGACTAATGTTCTCGCTAACTTCTTACAGCCCTAAATGATATCCTCAGCATACGGGCCAGAACGCGGCTCAGGGACCTCAATCGCAACGTGTGTATCCAGTGTCCTGATTTCCAGGTGCCCTGGTTTCATAGCGACTTCTGCCAGGAAATGCTAAAGAAAGGTAAAAAGATGCGCAGAAATTTATTTCTGGTTTAGGTGGGTTCTTATTGTGGGATTTAAATAAATCTGTACTATTAATTGCCTTTCAAAATGTTTTTCAGACAATATCTTCCTCAGTCCTGTGCGACAGCAAATCCACAGACTCCTGGCTGAAGTTCTCGGTGGCAATGACTACATTCAAGCAGCAGTTGTCACTCCGTATTATTATACCATAGGTGAGTAATATTATATCATCTCCGTATAAAACACTGATTTGATGATATTTTGTCTCGTTTTATTCTATTCTAAGTAAAAAAAGAATCTCATATGACAGTCAAGTAAATTTACATGTATATATTTTTTGCTTTATAAGCTTTAAAGGTCCAGTGTGTAACATTTAGGAGAATCTATTGACAGAAATAGATTATATCATCCAGAGTTGATTCCTCTCTAAACCACTTCTCTCACTCAGATCTTGAATCACCCCAACCATTCACTCATTCATTCTTCTTCCTGCTTCCCTTTCCTTTTTGTTTGTGCATTTTTATTGTTATACAATATTAAAAAATGAATTAAATTAAAAGAAATAAAAGAAATGGAATATAATATTAGTATACTTTTATTAGTGTATAATCACCAGAATATAGGAATTGTGTTTTTGTTACCCTAGAATGGGCCATTTATATCTACAGACGCCGCGGGCCGCCTTCCATGAAATACCATGTTTCTATAGTAGCCCAGAACGGACAAACCAAACACTGGCTCTAGATTGGGGCGTTTTGCATTTTTCCTCGAGTTTCGTGGCCCCCGTAGGTTCTCCTACACCCGCCCGTTCTCATTCCCAGGTTGTCAAATACAGCCAGGAGCAGTGTTCAGTTAGCTGCAGTCTGAAACTTCACCACTAGATGCTGCTAAATCCTACACACTAGACCCTAAAGGTACGGTCACATTACACTTCTGTTCAATAAAAAATGTCCACCTACTCAGCCACAAAACAGGACACAAAGTAATATCACGTTTCTGATGCTCGAACTGAATAAATATTGATCAGAGCAGTAACAAACTATAAATGGTGTTGGAGAGCTATGCTACAGTTTGCACATCCACTTGGTTAAAGTTGAACAAAGGTGAACTCTCGCCTAAAAAAGGGAAAACGCAAGCTTGAATTAATCAGAAATGATTGGGAATTGAATATTTGTAGGATGTAAGGTTTAATGTGACCATGTTTTGTGTTTTCAGACTTTGAATGCATACTGGACACAAACATGCAGCCGCTGTCCTACAGCAAGCTTAGGACACTGCAAGGAGACAAAGTTCAGTGGGGGAAAGCATCACCTGTGAACATGGAGGATAAGCTGCCGCCTGGAGCTCAGCGGTACGGAGCAGAAAACAGCCAGAGTACTAAAGATGAGTAATTAGATGACCCAGAAATGTTTGACATTCTGTTTTTACTTCTCACCTAGAGTTGCTGTGAACTTTCTTGGTCCATGGGCCTTCACCAAAAATGCTTCCCATTTCCTGGGTAAAACTGCTGTGAAGAAAAGGCACCTTGAAATTCTGGGATATCACGTGGTTCATGTGAGAATACATCATTTAAAGAGTGCATGTGTTACTGTGCATCTTTCACTGAATCATATTCACTGTCAGTGATATTGCAAAAGACAATCAGACAGCAGAATAAATATATATATATATATATATATATATATATATATATATATATATATTTTTTTTTTTTTTTTTTTACAGATCCCACACTTTGAATGGAACTCGATGGAGCTCTCAACAAATGACGCCTGGAAGAAATATCTTAAGAAGAAACTATTCTATTCTTCTGCTTGAAGGCGATACTTTGAAGACTGAAAGTAATGTTACATTCATTCAATTTAGTTTTGATGTTCAGGGTTGAATGACTGAACAGTTGCAAGTTCTAAGAATGTATACATCAAGTGCTCCTCTTTCTAGTGACTGAGCATCACGTTGACATGAATCATGTTAAGGGAGATTGTGTATTATGTGTTTTTGGTATTCACATGAGTATTTTAAATAAAATTATTTCTTATCATTGTTGGCAGAAATGGGGGGTTATCAGTGCTGCTCAACAAACTGAATTAATTTGCACGTTTTAGGGAATTTAGGCTTTTGTGCGTTTTACATGCTGCTATGATCAGGAAGTAAGCCAATATGGTGAGCCTCTGAAGGAGCCAAGGTTTATCCTCAACGTCCTTTCCAGTGAGCCAAGATGCGCAATGGCGGCACCCTGATTCTGTTTGATCTGAATGGAACTGAACTTTAATTGGTATCATTGGTAAACCTGTGGTTACCCTCTTTTATGTCAGCATGACTGCTGTGAAAAAGGTCTATTCACACAAACAGCGATTATAGAGCTTTAGAACGTGAACATGAGCAGATATTTACCCAAGACTAAATTTCATCCTGTGTTTTGGACCTCTACCGCAGTGTGGCTTACATTGTGTAACATATGTAGGCTCTTATTCATAAAAAAAAAAAGAAATGAACACTTATCATTACAACAGAAGCCTTATGTTAGTTTAATCCAGTCTGTTCTGACTAGTTGTCTCATACAGTTGTCATGAACATGCACATGGGCACAATAGTTCTGCTCTTGAATAATATGAACAATGAGTCTGTGGGAGATAATATGTTAATACTGAAGGGTTACAAAGTCTGGAAGAGGGACATAATACTCACAAATACTAGTATTTCATGTGTGGAAGAGGGGTGGCTGACAATGTCTAGTCCGACTGTTTAGATGCTGGTGATTTATGAGAAATAAGCCAATTAAGGTGTCTGATATGTTAAAAAGGAGCCACTCAATAAGAGCATGTACATAATATGTTTGCCTAAAGCAGTAAAGTCCTCTGTATGTCTCTGTTGTTACAGTTTGGGCATTCTGGCTGCATTCAGACGCATGGCCACACAGGAGGCTCCAGCTGCATAACGCATCTCTTTAATCATGCCAGTCCACTGTTTCTTGTCATCTTCATACCTGGTAGGACAGTGAAAAACATGTTACTATAATGTACTGTACGAGCAGAGGTATAGGTATTAAAATAAGGTGAACGAGATGACATTGTTCGGTACCATGTGAATTTTACAATATAGTGCAACAAAATGGACACGTACTGCCAAATGTCAGTGATTTCGCTTGGGGCGCACTCTTTGTTCTCATTCTCCACCACGGCAAAGCCTCCTATGGCGTACAGCACCCCTCCACAGCTGACCAGGTTGACTGAACTCCTCTCCTGGGGAAACTCTGTGAAGGGTGACCACCTGCAACAAGATGCACTCAGCTGTATTAAAACTGATATTTCCAAATCCTACAAGTTTTTTTACTTAACGAACTCTTACAGAGATTTTTTTGACTGTTTATTTTCCACATGGATTTAAAGCAGTGGTTCCTAACCTGGGGGAGGGGGCCTTAAAAGACAATAAAAGGAATAAGATAGAAAACTGTGTATCTATATGCTGTGTATCTCATTTCTTTTTCTGGATGCCTCCTCTTGTTTAATACAAAAAAACTTTTTAATTGAAGCAATCTGAGGATGAAAAACTCTGTGACGAGGGGGCAAGAACCCCCCCAAAAAGGTTTAGAAACCCTGATTTAAAGCACTTAAATACAGAAAAAAGCTACAACATTTATTGAACATTTGACTGAACCTTATTTGAACATGGTTAAGTTATATTTAAAAATAAAAACGGCATAATAATTTGCAATCTGAATGATACATGCTTTCCTCAAAGAGATGTTAAATTGGAAATAAATATTGGTATCAAATGATAAACAATAACCAGCTATACACACCACTTTGAGGAGCTTGTACAAATTGTAATAATAAACTTACTTGTTGGTTCCGAAGTCATAGGCTTCACATGCAGCTGTGAGGCCCTCTTCATTGACTCCCCCAGCTACAACAATCTTCCCATTGTGGAGAACTGCACCAAACATGGATCTGGGTGTCTTCATGGAAGCCACCTCCTTCCACTCTGACCTCTTGTGGTTGTATGCAAACATCTTATTGGTCGCTTTACTTTACCAGGGAGACAAAAATGATTCCCAGCAAGGTTTAATGTCATGTGAAAATCTTATCTATATATAAAAGAGTCTTGGCACTGCAGTCTTACTTGTCATCTGTTTTGCCTCCGATACAGTACACCAGCCCGTTCTCGGACACCACAGAGTGGCCGTGGATTTTCAAGGGCAACTTTTTTGTTTCGCTCCACTTCATTTTTCTACAAAGTGAAGATAAAGTAAAGCGCTCAACAATACATATCGTAACGTAAGACAATGAAAATATCCCAGCGGTCGTTGTGCTGAACTTACTCTGTGTCATAGCACAATACAGTGTCATGAGACTCATCGGACTGTAAATCTTTTCCTGCTACAGCAAAGATGAGATTTTCAAATTCCCCCATTGCAAACAAACACCTGGGGGAGGGCATGGGTGGCAGAGCGATCCATTCAGCACTGAGACTGTCCAACTGAAAGACACATTTTAAGATATTTTAAACCCCAAATGACTTTTGATGTGTTCAGTACATCTACAATGTAAAAGGAAATGTTTATACCTGGTAGAGGTAACACTGCAGTGGGTTTTCTTTGTCCTCTTCATCTACAAACAGCCCCCCCAACACATACAGATTGTTCTTCTTTGTCCTCAGACTGACGTGGTTTCGGGGGACCGGCTCTGCCATTGCAGCAAGAAGGCATTCGTTCTCCTGGGCGTCATAGGCCACGGCAGCAGTGTCATTGATCATCACAACCACGTCTTTGGCATACATGCCATATCTGCGGTTATCGTTCAGATAATCAGGCAATTTTCCCTCTTCTCCTTCCTCGTCATCTTGCCCCTTTTTCCTCTCGGGAAGCTTCCCTCCAAAGGCTTCCTTTATGACTTTGATTTTTTTGAGGAGCTCAGGATTAGTCTTAATGAGGTCCTCCTTCTCCACCTTTTCCTTGAAGTACTTCTCTGGGAGTAAACGGAAACGAACGCAGTCAAAGGCCTCTTCTAAGGACGTCATACGTTTCTCTTTGTCTTTCCTGATCCACCTCATGAGGGTCTCAAACACTAGCTCCTCTTTTTCTACATTCAGTGCATCCGCTCCAATAATGGCATAGAGTTCAGGTGGAGCGAGCTCTAAGAAATCCTCATCCATGGCTATGGTCTCAAACCGATCTGCAATGTAATCTCGAGCTGCAATTGCCAGTCTGGCACAGTTCAGCATCAGTCCCAGCCTGTAGATGGCAAGGCAGTTTTTCTTTGACAGCTTCTTCTGGAGATAATTCACACAAACCGTGAACACCGAGGGGATCTGGAAGCGATTGGCAACGGCCAAAATATCCTGCACGTTGTCGTCGTTGATGTCAATCTCTGCTGAGTACATGTAATTTACAATCGACTCCATAACACCGGGGTCCAGGTTCTCCAGAAGAACCTCCTTTTTATCTGCTTCCTTCCCGTCCGCTGAGAAGAACAGCTCCCGGAAATAAGGAGTGCAGGCTGCCAGAATGAGCCGATGGCAAGGGATGCTTCTGTCTCCAACTTTCAGGACACAGTCGATCAACTTGTTCTCATTCAGAAGCTCTTTGAGTCCATCCTGCAGCAAAGTGGTTTGAAACAGACGGAGGTCTTCCCTCAGGCCTTGGGGATCCATTCTTGTAGGACAGGAAGTGGATGGAAGTGGGGAAGTTCACAACAGAGACACAACTGTCCTAGCTGGTGAAGACGAAGAACTATAGGCAGCCAGGTCGAAAGCCACTTCAATATAACAGTGCCCCTCTAAATATAGCCAAACAGCCCATCCATGAAGAATTTGGGTTGGCCAAATCGGAAAGCTCACACAGCTGTCAGAGAGTAAACTGTGGCAACTGTGGAGCCTTGTCACCCTAGTGATTAGTAACAACATTGGTGTATGGCCACACAAAAATAACCTATGATATTTTCATTTTATTTACTCTATACTTTATTGAATCTGTCAATCGAATAGGGTGAGAAAAAAGAAAACAGGATTTTTCACAGATTTGGTTGGCATTTACTACAATCGTGTGTATTCCAGGGACATCTACATGTGGAGTGAGTCACGATTCACTGATAGTAATGACCACTACAGTGTGAGTCAGTATTTGTGTGTGAGACGTGCACAGAGGAGTTATCTAACAAGTAGACAGGGTCGGTCAACAGCTGCTGCGACAGGAGGTGACAGTTTATCCTCTTTTTAGACTTTTAAAATACTTCAGTGCATTGTGCAGATATGTATTTAGCCTGAGATCATTGTGTCCTTTCCACATACATTGTATATATGACACAGTACAAACCTACTGTACCAATAAAATGTACTCTCCAATATGTATTTAAATACATTTATTAACTTTAAACAATACAAACTGCATTATATTTCAAATTCAATTCACTACAAGAAAATGTTTTAGACAAATATCCCACAATAAATGTCATATACAAAGTATGAATAAACTGGACAATTTGTAACCTGACCTATAAATAAATAAACTGTTACCTTCATAATCACAATATCTACATAGAGTACATACATGTTATTCATGTTTCATGTTATTTCAGCCCATAACTTCCCACAGTCCTTGAAGTGTGAAGCCATCCTTCAGCTTTTCAATGGCGAGGCCCAGCTCCTCAGAGAAAACTGGCTCACGGTCTTGTTGCTTTGGAACAAGAAGAAACAAATGAAAAGAGCCCAAATGTTTCACAACCCAACATACTATATATTCATATATCAGGTAATAACATTGATTGTGAGACTTTACCTTGTTTCCATCAGCAAAGTAAGCCTGTGGACAAGCAACACACACAATTCATATGTTTAATCAAAACAACCGTGTCTGTAATAATAGATTATTGTTGTCTGATGAGCACCTCTCCCTACAAACAAGAGCACTAGGCAACATAAAGTTATGTTTGTTCATCATGCTGAGGCTCATGAGCTGACAGCTATTCTAAGAGTCTGAAAACTAAACCACTGACTCCCAGAGGAGCGGCGGGTGTATGGGTGGCCAACGGGCACACTCACAGTGAATGCATCGGTCTGCTCATCAGGTTCGATTTCCACGTCATCAGCAGGCTGTTCCACTGTGAGTTCTTCCAACGGCTGGGGCTGAAAGGATTGTTAGGACAAACAGTGCTATGACAACAACTTTCATCAGCTGAACTGATTAAAGAGCTAACAACAATGGAGAATTCAAAACATTTATGGGAATGTAGGTTTTAAAAAATCTGCTGTTAGAATGACAGTAAAGTATTTTAAAGTTGGTTTGTTTCCAGTTTCAACACTTTCTCACGTTTTAATATTATACTATTGAGGAGTTCATGCTCAATACCTTTTCTTCCATCTCATAGTCCACTCCAAAGATGGGGTTGGCAGAGTACACCTTATGCAACGAGTTGATTTCCTTCAGTGCGTCCTGAAGCTTATCCACAGGATCAATCTTAAACCCGAGCACATAGCCACCACTCTAAAAACAAAAGGACAAAGTATACTTGTGTATTTACAAGCAACAACAAGCAGTATTTATTAGTATCAAGTCATTATATTGTTATCAGAGAAAAACAGGTTACCTGGCGTGAGCTCTCGATCACCAAAGCCAAGCCGAACTTTGAGTCTCTTATTCTGATAGACCACTTTAAGGAAAAAAGGGGGAAAATAAAATTATAAATTATAAATAGAAATAATTATAATAAATGATTTTTCAACAGAAACAATATCATTAGCAGCTGCCTATGTGCAAGAGTACAGTGGTGTCTGTCTATGGCTGAACTGAAATGATCTCTTCTGTTATAATATTGATAGAGTATCACAAAGGTGCCTCATGTCTCGAGCTGTGTAACTGTACAGTACTCTAATAGTATCTCCTTTATTGTACTTTATGGTGTGTACTCTACATAAAGCGTATTCTTTAATCTACATAGACCTTGAATGTTGAATGGTGTATGTGCTCCTGAGCACATAATAGATGGTGTGTATGTTTCTTATGGCATTGAGCCATGAATTAGCAACATAAAGAGTCTTGTTTGTTAGAACCAATAAAAAGACAAATATATTTGCTCATCCTGCCCATTGATTTGTTGTGGCACGTAGGAAAGAGAGGACTGGATGTTATTGAGTGGATTGTACTTACGATCTGAAGGTAAGGAATGCTGACATTGAAGCTCTCATTCATATTGGCGTGCCACACAATCCGAACATTTGTGATAAAGAAGGTTCCCAGGTTACCCTAAAAGAAAGAAAACCAACCTCAGTCAAGGAAAAGGAACTTGCAGACTCATTGTAATCTAATTATCTCCAGTAATCTAATTTGTATTAGATGTGAACTCTTCAGAAATAACTGAGATTCAAGTAACTATGTAATAAATGGATTAAAACCCCACGTTGCATTGATAACTAACATTTTCATATAACTGTACCGTCTGTTGTAGACAGTAGTACACACCTTAACACATGTGGGATATGAAATGTAACTTTTTAATGCCTCCTGTTGGGACCAGTGTGTAGGATTTATTGGCATCTTGTGGTGAAGTTTCAGATAACAAACAGCTGAAAAAGCATGTAGGACAAACTATGGCGCCCTAATTAAAACAAACCTATGAATATTATATTGCTTTTCTGCCAATAGATCCCCCTAAATGTTACACACTGGACCTTTACGTAAATTGAAAAATGCTAAATTGAAGAAAATCAGACAGCTGTCAAGCACCAGTACCTGGTCACTGGATAAATTCCAAACTCCATTAATTTTATCATACACTTGCTCCCGGGGCAAGAGTCTGAGCTGCTTATTTTGAATGAGAGCAGCTCGCAATTTCAGGTCCCTGTACATTTTAGATGTCTCATAGGCCCTGTAACAAAAACATAACATTATAACATGTACATTTTACATTTATGGAGAATGTGATCAGACAATTGAACTTTCCCTTTGTATTGTTTTACCTGTGGACGGCAATGACAGAAGTAAAGAGCCGTGGACTTCCTGGAACCACATTTGTGAAAATGAACTCAAATCTTGTGTTGTTGGACTTTGTCAGGATGTAGAGTGCTTCAGTTTGGCCTCGCAATTTCTGGAGAAAAGCATTCAATTAATGAATTAGCATGGTTATCTGTTTCCCACTTTAAAATGATTGACTTGGCAACAAAAAGACATTTAACACAAACTTTGAGACAATCAAATATTTGTTCATTTAAGAAGTGAGTATAATATTAACAGTATATATGATGTGTGTGAGGAGATATAAAAAGGTTATGGACAAATACTCTGGACAACCATAATTTACTTACTGAGTTCGCTGTCCTTGTTGTGATGTTAATGATGGAGTTGTAACCCACAGCTGAAATAAATAACAGATTTCTATTTAGGCAGTCAAGTGCAAAATCCTGACTCCACACTTTGTTCACATGTGACAACACACTCAGATCAGATAAATGGTTACTTTCTTATTTAGTTCCTCAGTAGACTTTTTTAATTAATATCTTAAAACTCTCAATATTACTTGTACAAACATATATAATATATACATACATGATTGAACATGCAGCATACAAAATGAAGACACAAGCTTCATCTTACCAAAAGCCTATTTTCTGTTGGATTGTTCAGAAATTGGTGGCAATGGTCACTCACAAAATCTTTAGATACAGTTTCGGTTTAAGCAAAAAGTAAAATTAAATGGAGGGTGCCATGGAAGTCATTAAACACACAATAAAAACTGTTTGAAACCTTTGAAGGTGTCCATATAACACCATTAGTTTAATGCCATGCATTTCCAAGAGAGGGCAGACACATTCAGCTGATGGAGACACACTTAATAATCATACAGGTGTACTCACATAAATTGACTCTGGGTAGGGCCAAAGAATGCCAAATGATTCTCAGGTTTGTTACCAACAGCCGTCCTACAAATAAAGTAAACTAGTTAAAATAAAAGTAGACATTATCTGTTATCAGGTGACCAACAGAGTTTTAACCTCCGAGATATCTAACTTTACTACCTCGATCTCCATTGTTGCCTTTTGTGTCTTCTATGGAGTCCAGACAGTCTATTAGTACTTCTCCTGGACGTGTTTTCATCTGCCTGTGTACACGATAGATGGACAGATTGATCAGTGATGATACAGGATAGATGGACAGATTGATCAGTGATGATACAGGATAGATGGACAGATTGATCAGTGATGATACAGGATAGATAGACAGATTGATCAGTGATGATACAGGATAGATGGACAGATTGATCAGTGATGATACAGGATAGTTGGACAGATTGGGTGATGATACAGGATAGATGGACAGATTGATCAGTGATGATACAGGATAGATGGACAGATTGATCGGGGATGATACAGGATAGATGGACAGATTGATGCGGTGTTGAGTGATGATACAGGATAGATGGACAGATTGATCAGGGATGATACAGGATAGATAGACAGATTGATCAGTGATGATACAGGATAGATAGACAGATTGATCAGTGATGATACAGGATAGATGGACAGATTGATCAGGGATGATACAGGATAGATAGACAGATTGATCGGTGATGATACAGGATAGATAGACAGATTGATCAGTGATGATACAGGATAGATGGACAGATTGATCAGGGATGATACAGGATAGTGCAGATTGATCAGGGATGATACAGGATAGATAGACAGATTGATCAGTGATGATACAGGATAGATGGACAGACAGTGGACAGGTTTAACATAAGTCAGCTAAGTGTATCACAGCTGGTTACAGTAGCATGCGAGCATTGAGATAATCTACATATACGACATAAAGCTACAGTAAAACGTGTTTCCACGGGAGAACATGAAGCTAAACTCAATCCTTGGAGCCTTGCATTAACACAATTGGTTTTGGTTAGCCAATTAGCGTAGTTGAGCTAACTAGCTCGTACGACGGGGAAATAACCCCCCAACAAAAGCGATTTCTGCGCGGCAGCGTTAACTTACTGTGCTGTTATGTCGAATCTAACGTCCCTGTCTTCCCAGAGAGCATCTAAAACAGACGCCATGACCGCTGGTTACCACTCCCTCGGGTTAGTTTCAGTAAGGTTTACAAAGCTACCCCCGCAGCTAGCTTAAAACGGGCTAATCTGACAGAGCCGCTGTAGCGTCATAATCACTATGGCAACGGACGGCAAGCCGAGAGGGCAACGTTGTGGATCTGTTTCAAAACGTCTGACAAAAACTGCGAAGTAGAGACATGTTCGTGACCTTTAATAGGTTTAAAATGGTCTACAAGTCTACGTAAGCATTGGGGTACATGTTAGTACAGTGTCAATAGGTTTCTGGTTGCTTTGTGAGACAGCTGTCCTTCAAGAACCAGCTATAAAACTGTAAATAAAAGGACTTTCCCCCATTATGACTGCAGGGAGGAATGCTCCAAAGTTTATGCAAACTATTAAACCCCAAATGGGACTCCTAATTAGTGCGTTATTAAAGGCAGGTGTGCTAGAAAGGCCTAGCAATTAAGATGTTAACACATGTACAGACAAAGTTAGTTTTTTTTTATTTGTGTTGAATTTTCAATAACATTGCATGAGTTTTAACAAAAAGCTAATTTTAGTGTCCAAGTCCAGTGTTCTTGGCAGTGAAAATAATTATTTTAAAGATATTTTTGGGGCTTTTTTATGCCCTTCTTTTGATAGATAGACAGGAACACATGCAGCAAAGGCCCGCAGGTTGGAATTGAACGTGGGCCACTGCAGTAAAAACAGGCAACCATCATTATTTTATATTTTATTATTAAAAAACATACAAAACGTCTATTCAGATATACACACACTGCCTAAATAGACAGGACTTTAAAAGATGGAAAAGCCTCAATCTTCATCACAACAAGACATCGCAGTAAACCTCTGAAAGCAGTAGAAAGACAGAAATGGCTCTTTATTACAGCTGCCAGTTATAACCGAATGGACACATTGTAATTACAAACAGAATGAACATAAAAAGTACCCAGCATATTTTAGCAAATCTTATCAACAAGGTAATCACACACTGTATTGTCGCTGTCTTGCTAGAAATGTATTCAGTGAATATAAAGCATGTGGCTCATAGAGGTATAAGAACAATCTACAGATTAGATTTAAACTGTAATAAGATTTCTGTAGTTGTCATTGTAAATCCAGGACAGTCAGACCCTGATTTCTTCTGGTGTATCAAGCACAATACAATTTATTTGAGGTAATAACGTCATTTTTTTAAAGTCATTAATTGGGTTGAAACAGGAACATATCAGCAGTTTTCAGGATGACTTTTCTAGCACTGCTTTGCTATTTGATCAGAAAATGCATTTATGTTTGAGGACAAGAGTGTTAGAAAAGATATTTTCTGAACACATCAGACAGAATGCATCACATTAAAATAACAAATCAGCAGATTGTAGAGTAGTAAAGTCCTTTTTCTTATGGCATCTTCTCCTTTTATCCTGCTGGAGACAAAACAGTATAATATTCAGAAAATAAAAATAAAACAAGACTGTGCACATTTCCTGTTACGGATCTATAAAAGTTACCTGTTCTGAATAGAACACAAGTCTTCTTGCATTCAGCCTCTGTTTCGAAACGGTTGTCATTTCCAGCGCAGCCGCCGTACCAAAACTGTGCACAGGCATTGGCCTGCTTGTCATAGTACCAGCTGATGCTATAGTTTCTGCAGTTGCCTTGGTCCAAGCTGAGGTTACAGCGTGGCTCAAGAGGAGTGGCCTCTGGAGAAGAAATGGTGTGTGAGACGCATGTTTTCCAAAGAATATTTATGTATTTGATGCCTTTTTCACAGCAGATATTTGGACTTGTCATAGCAGGAAAAGCACAGGTGTTATTAATAACATTAATGATGTCTCTGTTCTACCCACGTCTCTGAAGTACTCACCTGCTGGCACGACTGGCCTCACCACGGGCTGCACCTGATTATTGTTTAAAGATGAAACTGAGCCCAGTGCTGCAGATGAGGATGAAGATGTAGAAGAGGATGAAGATGATGATGATAGGACTGCCTCATTGAACGCTGAGCTTTCTCTCACAGGCGATGAAGATGCTGTTTTGTTGACTACAGCTACAGTACTACTGCCCCGCACCTGGGCTCTTAAGTCTAAATCTTCACCTTCATCATCCTCCACCACCTAGAAGACAAAATATTAAAATATAATATTTAATTGAAAGAAGAGTTTTGTATCATCAGCAAAGAAAATTATAATAGTAAAGTGCTGCAGGGATGAGGTATTTATACTTTATATTGTTTATAATGGGATTTTCCCCTTGTATTTTGGATTACTGCTAAATAAGCTCTGTTGCAAATAAAGGGTTTTTGATCCCTACAAATTTTGTTAAATAGATAAGATACTATAAGATAATCTTCACATATGAACGCCACTTTTATGATTTTTGAAGCCTTATTTCAGGCATCTAACCAAAAGCCCATTAAAAAAAACCCCACTATCTTCAAGGAGAGGGAATCTTAAGTGCTAAAACACTAACTCAGTTCCAGGTTTTAGGACTCATTCCTGCAGCACCCTATATTGTTCTTTCAGATTTTTAAGTAAAGACCTGGACAGGGAGAGGATTAGCACTGATGGGCAGTGTGAAAGTGTCTCCACGGCCTCTGGTATTTGTGCGTCTTGGATTTTGGATCTCCTCTTGGTAATTGTAACCATTGCCGTTGTTCCCATGTCCATTGTTACCATAAGCATGACCATTATTGCCATAGCCATTGTATCCATTGGTATTCTCTCCATGTCCATTGTTTCCATTACTACCATGCCCATTGTTACCGTTCCAGTGTCCATTTGTTACGTGATTGTAAATGAGGGCGCCATTTTCATCTTCACAGAACTGGCTGACGAGTTTAGACTCTAGCGCTGGAAAAACAAAATTCAGAAATCAGTTAACTTTCGGCACTTTACAACCTCTTAGCAAATACAATAGCTATATATTAACAACATCTGACAAGGATTTTCACCTGTGAGAGTATTGAAGTCGTCAATGAGGTACATGTGTTCAGTGTCAGGGTCTGAGGCAATGAGGTTGAGTTCTTGCAGGAACTCAGCCTGCGTAGGATCAGAGGAATTGACGATCCCCAGGGCGTACATCTCAATGTTTGCAGCGTGAGCTTCCCTCACAGCTATGTCAAGTTTGACAGGCTCTCGTTTGTCAGTCTGACCATCAGTGATGACGATGGCTACTTTTCTGACTCCAGGCCGAGCGCTGAAGAAAGCCTCCTGAGTCGCCTTTCTGATGGCAGTGCCGGTATAGGTGCCCTCGCCCATGTAAGGCATCTTTCTGATTGCCTGCTTAACGTCCTGTTTGTTCACGTAGCGAGCCAAGTTGAACTCCAATTGGACATCCAGACTGTAGAGGACCAGTCCGATTCTGGTGGCGTTGCGTCCCACTGTGGTCCGTTCCACCAACCTGGTGACAAAGTCCTTGATGATTTCAAAGTTCTCGGGGCCAACACTCTCTGAGCTGTCGATGACGAACACAAGTTCCATTGGCCTTTCTTTGCACTTGATGCCACATCCTGAAAACAAGTAAATATTGTAACTACTTTACTATTGTCCTATAGCTTTAAAGCTGCACTAATCAATATTTTTATTGTAATGATGGAGCAATAAACAATGTGTAGTATGAAAAGGCTCACAGGGATGAACCCGACTCTGCGAATCACATCAGCTCTAAAGAATCTTTTAGCATCTTTAAGGTCATTGTTTTGATTTAATGGCAACAAAGCAGCAATCGCTGTGACTGGCAAGTGAAGCCAACACGGAAGCAATAAAATGATCTTTGAATGGCCTCTTGAGGCTGGGTACAGAAGTGAGTTGGTCTTCATAAGGTCTCATATTAAAATGCTCTACTTTACAGCAGAAATAAACATGTTTACAGGACAAAAAATGATTTTGGTGTCTCTGGCAAAATTTTTTAAATGTTCATTTATTGAACTTTACCAGGAGTGAACTCTCACACTCCATGTTTTTGCCCATTTTTGGATTTGCTGGGAGCTGGCAGAGTCAGGACTTTGAAGATGGCAACGGCCAGAGCCGAACACACTGATCTTCACAACAGCTCCTCAGAAACAAAAGGGTGACGTCATGGAGACTACGTTCATTTTTAATTCATATAGCCTTGTTCCCAGACACAGCAGACTAAACCCCATCATACACCTGCCCATCACCAAAAAGCCAAACATTACACCAGTAAACTAGACTTGGCTAGTTGTCTTACCACAGATTTCTTTGATCAGCTTAATAATGTCTTCCCTCTGAAAAATATGGGAACATTCATATTAGTACAAAATGACTATCATTTATTGAATCTTCAAACATTAGTTAAATTCATGAACTTACTGTAAGGCCTGCTTCTCCTTTCACTCCTGGCCTCCCCTGGGATTTGGGAGAAGTTTAAAACAAAATCACTGTTTCTGTAACATGTTAAATACTTGTATCTCTATCTACTAGGATTGTGATGTAGATTGTTCTCATATACTGCAAATACACACACTCCACATAGTAATTTTATTCACTTATACAATTAATCTAATTTTTTCCTGGTAGTTTACTGTCAAGTAAAAAATAGCTGAGAGCTCTTAATGTGTTTTTTTGGTGAGTGACGAAACCTCTTGCTCTCTACAGCTACAAGCCAGCAGTATCTTCAAATATTGGCTGTTTGATTGTTTATCTAAGGAAGTGAGGAATAAGAGCTGCTTTGCTTACTGCTTCACCAGGGACTCCAGTATCTCCCATGTCTCCTTTTATACCTTTCAGTCCCCTCTCGCCCTGTAATCCACGATCGCCCTGCAACAAGGGAAGAGTAATTCAACAGTCAGAGACCAGTTAATCAGATATCAATGAAATGGTTAAGAAGATATGTGCAATTCCATCACCTTAGCTCCTGGAAATCCATCTCCTTGAGGCCCTCTTGGTCCAATCATACCTTGAGATCCTGGCTCACCCTGAAATTAATTCAAATTTTACTGAATCATACAGGAGCGCTGCACACTGCATCATAAATTATTGTGATCTGCAGGTTGTTTTGTCAGGCAGCTCTATTGTGTAACAAGTCTGCACCACTTAAGCGTATGATATTGCTTCACTCCTACATGCTGTGGACAAGAAAGTACAAATCTGAATTAATCCTGATTATAAAGAACTTGATAAGTGCTTTAAGGACAGCGTTTACATAAAACAGTAGTGACAATTACCTTTGGCCCTTGAATACCTTCTCCTGGGGGACCAGTTGGACCAGGAGGTCCTTGCCTCCCAACATTACCCTTAAAACAAATGTTTAAAGTCATCAGACCACTGGTTTATGAAAAATAGTATCATAGTACAACTTTGTATGTTTAATTTATGTTTAATATATTAGCTATGATTCGGATTTGAATATTAATCGTAATTAGATCAAGCTGTTTATTAGATAATCTTCCTTACAGGTGGTCCTTGTAAACCCTCTCCAGATGGGCCGGGCAAACCTGGCAATCCTCTAAAGCCAATGTCACCCTGAAACAGACATCCAATTAATAAATTCATTATGAGCATCTCAATACATAAACACACAAAACATAAAAAACTTAAAAAACATGTAGGCACAAACCTTGGGACCAGGAATTCCTATTCCTTCTACGCCCGGCTCGCCCGGTAAGCCTGGCATGCCTGGAGGACCCTAAAGTAAGTACATAAAAAGTTCAGACAATGCTAACATGCACAGGATTTACTGGTTACAGAATTTGAGTATGTGCAAAATATTCTTGATACGAACCAGAGGGCCGGGGAGGCCTTCTCCTTTTGGACCACCTGGACCCGGTAAACCCGGATGACCACGTTCACCCTGGTTAAATAAAATTTAGTGATGAAAACCAACAACATTATGTAGATTATAACAATTTTATCAATAAAAACATACAGTGTTCTTAAGTGTTCACCTTTGGACCAGGTAATCCATGGCCTGTCTCCCCAACAGGACCAGGGGGACCAGCGGGACCTAAATCACCCTGGAAACAAACACAGCAAGTTGAATAGTCTGAACTATTTTTTAGATGTGTTTCCTCATTAAACTCTATCTGGCAGTTCTTCTGACTTGGCACCAAGGTTGTCTATCTCAGTGCCAAAAATCTATGTTAAGAGACAGTTTGATAATACACTTTTATTTATTTACCTTTGGACCTGATATAGACCGTCCTGGCTGCCCTGGCATGCCCAGATGGCCTGGTATCCCACGTTCACCCTGAAAGGTGAGAGTTGGCATGAGACGTAAGATCTAATTCATGCTTGTCATTATTCCGACAATACTTACGTTGCCAACAACATGCAGAGGACATGTTCTGTTGTTCTATTCAAAGGTTGGGTTAATGTGGCATAAATCTTCGACAGCAAGGTATTTATCATAGAATAAAGACGCTGCTTATACTACTTCATCAAGAACGCACCACAATTAAATACTTGTTTGATTAGTTCTTACCTTTGGTCCAGAGGGTCCTGAGATCCCAGGAGGCCCATGTAACCCACGGATGCCCCTCAGACCCTGGTCACCCTGGGAGGAATGACAGCACACATTCAATTTGATTTGTACAGTGCCAAGAGATTATCTCAGGACACTTCCAAATAGAGCAGGTCCAGACTGTACTCCTATAGAGACCAAACAATTCCTGCATCATCTGATTAACATTTGTTGTCATATAAATTCTGAACTACACAAGGATTTATAATCTAAAGCATACCTTCTCCCCCTGAATGCCAATTCCTTGTGCTCCTTCAGGGCCTCTTAAACCAGGTAAACCAGCCTCCCCCTAAGAGAGGAAAGGCAGATGAGACATAGAAAAAATTTAAATTATGTTTATTTATTGTAAGCCAGTAGATAAAGGAAATGACAGTAGAGTTCAGATACTACAAAAAAAATTTGGAAATCGGGATTTGAAGTGGAAGTTTTTCCCAGAGCTGACAAAATGTACTTTACCTTCTGCCCTGGAGCTCCATCCTCTCCTGGAAGACCAGGCAGTCCACCCAGACCAGACGCTCCAGGCTCTCCCTGTAACAACAGAATAGCATTATTTGATTTTTGATGGATTCAGCACATTGGCACTCCCCATAGGCTACTATAGACCATGACCAAATTAATTTGTGTGGTTCAGACATGCAATGTATTACCTTTGGACCAGGCTCACCAATGCCTCTCTCTCCTGTAGTTCCCTGCTCTCCTGGTAAACCCTGGTCTCCCTAGAAAATAACAAAGAGACATAACACGTAATTATAAAAAATGTAACAAACCTGCAAAGTCTGGACTTGCTTGACATGTTGTTTGTCCTGTTGGCTGCAATTTGAAACTTGTTTACAATAAAAATGTTTTATCCATATTATATTAAATAAAAAAAAAAAAAACGATATCAGCAATATTACAACTGTAGAAACCAGCCTAAACACTAACACCCTATATACAGTTGATTTACAGTAGCTGTGTAATTTGAGTTTTTCATGCTTGTAACAAACACTTTTTGATTCATCCTGCTGCACAGTGAAGTGAGAGGACAGTGTTCAGTTGTAACTAGATTTACCTGGAATCAAATGCAAACCTTTGTCTGTGTGAGGTGGTAATGTTTATGGCAACCATTGTACCAGCTCTATGGCCACACAAACACAAGCAATCTTACATTTCATTTAATTAACAAACCTTAGGTCCAGGTAAACCCTCTCCTGGAATTCCTCTTCCTCCTGGTGGACCCCTTGGACCCTCGACTCCCTGAGCAGGAATAAAGATTAGCGGGCTTTCAGTGCAGAGTGTGTTACTACTCTATGTATATATATAGGTGTAAAGTGAAAACACATATTTATTTTTTATATAAGACATTTTGCAAACCTTCTCTCCCTGTATGCCCACTCCTGTTAGTCCAGTTGGCCCTGGAAGACCTGGAAGCCCCAATTGACCCTGAAAGGAAAACACCAGTTTAATATATAAGTATCAGTTCTCAGTCCTCTAGTAGCTGTGGAGCAGGTTTTTTATGCGTGGGTCTCTGTTTTGTTCATCTGTATATAAAGACTGTATATAAAGATGGACGACGCGTCTCCACTTCCACTGCAAAAATTAAGCCAAAATATCCCAAATACAGCTGCTGCCATCTGCCACTGGTGACTCTGATAATTAAGAGCCAGTGTGCACAGTAATGATCGAGGTCCTGCTCATACACAAAGCCCATTCAAACATGAGCATGGATCAGCTGTCAATCATGACTCGAAACCCTCTTTTATAGCATCAAATTACTAATTAAAATCAAACTCATCAAAAAAAATGGACACTTGAAAAAACATCGGTGTGATAAGAACTACCTAAAAGGACAAAAAACATATTAAGTAAAATTATTAGACTTTTATGTGTACTTTGATGTTTTAGTTTGACCCATACTTTAAACATGTTTCATGAGGAAGGAAATGCACTTTGTTAGACCTCAAAGATAAACATAATGTGTTTTTGTGAATAACACTGAATATAAAGGCACCTTTTATTGAAATAAATGCATCAATGACACGTTTTACCAATTATATTGGTTCTATATTACAGTCTTTTATAGTACACAATGCAGTCCTATCTTTTCTTCAGTAACCAGACTTCACTTTCCTCTCACCTTATTCAGTCTAGTGTTTTAAGAGGCCCTCTTGAAGCCTAGAGGACATTTAGGCTGCCTTATGGATTTCATTAGAGCCTTTGTGTAGACGTTGTGTAGAGTGTTTGTCTTTATTAAATGATACATTTACAACCCACCCTTTCTCCTTTGATTCCTGCACCCTGTTGTCCCCTCGGCCCCCTCAGTCCAGGAAGCCCCCGATCCCCCTGTGGAACAAAATCAGGTTATTGCTGTCAGTTACATCACAGCTACTTGGCATTGGGTCACAGCCAAGCTCTGCATTGTTCTCAGTGAAGAAAGTATGGAAGAAGAGCATGTTTGTTCCTGTTACCCTCTTGTGATTGATTACATTAAAAAAATCCAACCCACAAGGAATGGAAACTTCTTCATGGCATTTCTCGACTGCATGATTCTTTAACCTTTTCCACGACCGGTTGATGGGAACTGCATGAGCAACATCCAAGTGTAATGAAATGCAGACCTGATCATACTAACTCTACGTGTGTGTGTTTATGTGTGTGGAGTGGGTTTATTCACCTCTGACAGAAGCACTCTGATCCCTTTTTACAAGCGGTAGAAGTCAGCAGAGGAGTAAAATCTATAATAGCTAGGAAGTCTGGTGTAGATCAAACAGATGTGTAGTAGCTTGAGGACATTTCCTGTCTTCAGTTTCCAAGAGCTTTCTAACAAATAAAAGTGTACGTATATTTCTTCACAGAGAAACCTCAAAACCACATAAATATGCTCCTTCCTTTGTCATTTTTACCTACAAGTTCTGTCTTTTCTTTTTACTCTTACTTGGGTATTATATGATAATCTCACTTCATTGCAGTTTTTTTTTTACGTGCTGTTGCAAAATAAGACGTGCTTTAAATAATAATCTCCATGCATATGCCTAGCAATCCCAGCTATATATTCTTGAAAGGGGTATTTGCAGAATCTATTGAAAAAACTGTATATGTCCCATAATGCAGCATGTTGCAGCACGGGAGGGGAAAGAAATACTGTTTGTACAGGCTTTACACATCAACAACAGAGTAAGTAGTAATGCTACAGTGAACACCTGAGTCGTGAGTCAGAGAGTTGGAACTGAGTGAGATCTGCTTTTGACAGATGCAGGCAATGAACTGCAGAATGGCCCAGATACTGTACATACACGTAGACACGTAGTTCACGCTCATCTGTAAGAAGATCACTACGATGTGTTTTTCTTTATTGTATTTTTAGATTTGAGAGTTATATGCCAATTTATAGCCACACGCAGTATTTAACAGCAACTTTTGTTTTACTACTAGAATCTAGCAGCTAATTGTTTATGCAAGAAGGTTTTGAAGCTGTTATTTACTGGTAATGGCTAATGTACCAATAATCTATAATTGCTTTTAAACATGCTGAATCGAAAAAGTTAAAGAATATCTGAAGCCCGTAAATTGTATATTTATATCAGATATCACATCCAGCGTGGGAGCAACACAGATACAAACACAGGCAAAGCAGAATGAAGCTTTGACATGACTCAATACAGCAGAGCTTCAAGTAAAGGATAAAATTAAAGGATTGTTTCATATCCAACTGGGGACCTTTGTCGCATTATCTAGGGTTAAGGGGTTACATCTAGGGTTTAAGTACTTGTAGAGGAAGAAGAAGAAGAAGAAGAAGAAGAAGAAGAAGAAGAAGAAGAAGAAGAAGATATACTTTCGTAAACCCCAATGGTGAAGTTAAGAGTAAGTGGGGTTTCAAGGGTACTATACAAAAAACTGTTTTATGGAAATGTGGCTTCAGAGTGCAGCAAGTTCTGGTCCTTCACATATTTACTGACGTCTTTAATTAAATTTTCTGGTAAAGCTTCAGGTAACTTTCCTTTTGTGTTGATTCTGGTGGACCCTGTGTGTGCGGTAGTGTTTACATTACCTTGTTTCATTTGATGTCAGTGGGAATCTGATTGAATTTGACCCAGTGGAAGGCAGAATAACAACATATAGAAATAGCCAATCTTCTGGCTGATGGTCTTGTTTATGTATCTTGTTTATGTAGGACATATAGTCACATCAGAATTACATTCAGACTGCCATAACCAGTTACAAACTCCTTGTAGTAGGTTTAATTTAGGCTTTTACTTACTTTTCGAACAACCTTGTGTATTAGATGTGTTCAGTTCCACATACTTACACATGAGCAGCTGCACTGAAGGTTAAGTGTTTTTCTGAAGAGACTAATCGATGCAGGAGCTAGTGGGGTCTTTTATCTAATATATATTTTAATAAATATCTGTCTTCTGTGTTTGATTGAAATGTGCAACCTGGCTAATGTTTCTGAAGACCACTGTTGACAGTCTCTCTTCAAATGTAAATGTGTTCCTACATATGAACCACTGAGACTGCAAAACCCTGTATAAGACCTTTTCACAGCAGCCACTTCCACATGAAGTAGTAGGGTAAACACATGTGTTCTACTCCATTCAGATCAAACAGAGTCAGGGTGCCGCTATTGTGAAGGTTCGCTCACTGGAAAGGCTCTGCTACACTCAATTGAACGGGACCTTCATTAGTATCATTGGTAATGCCTGTGTTTACCCTATTTCATGTCAGAATGGCTGCTGTGAAAAAAGGTCTTATCTGACAAATGTCATAACAAATCATTAACAGTATATGAGTAAAGCAAGACAGTTCTCTGCAACATTTGAACTTCTATCAGTATTTTCGAAGCATTAAGGCATTACTTGATGATCAACAAATGACTTATTGTTATTTAATTCATCTGTAACAATGTTTTAAGAATATCGTCTGTCTCTTACTGGTCTACCCTATAGAAAACATTGCCAAAGCATTGTGGTACATTCTAGTTTTCACCTCAAGTTGGTTACTTTTGTTTTAAAGAGATAGATAATACCTTTGGTCCGGGAAACCCCTCGCCGTGGGGTCCTTTATCCCCTGGAACACCTTGTGGTCCTTGAGGTCCCTATAAACAAAGTCAGAGAGTATAATATGTCACCCAAACAGTGCTCAGGTCAAAGTACCTGTATGGGTTTTCTCTACAGATCACATTTGTCACTGTAACAAAAATGGACACCACAGACAGATAAACATTAATCTGTTTGCAATAGCACAGACTGTTACTTCTAAACTTACAGGAAGGCCGGGTTCACCCACTCCAGGAGGACCAGGAGGACCAGATCGCCCCTGGAATCCCATGTCACCCTGCAGATTTACATAGAAACTTAATTGAATTAGTGAAACCCAAAGAAATGCAAATAGCAAACAATCACAAAGTACAAGAACATATTCAGAGGATCGTCCATAGCATCATTTACCTTTGATCCAGGATATCCAATACCAATTTCCCCCTGAATTCCTGGAGGGCCAGGTGGGCCACGCTCACCCTGTAATCACAAACATGATAACAGTTAGCACACAACATCCTTTAAAATCACTTTTCTGTCTTATTTATCCTCTCCTGTGCAGATATGATGCTCCTTTAAGGCTGAAAATAATGCTGAAAATAATGCTGTAAATCCTGCGTACTAAATGAGGTGGTGGGTATAGATATTTGATCTCTTCCTGCAGGTCAGGACATATAAGAGCTTAACTTGAGCTCCAGTACTGTCTCAAATTTCAAGAAACCCCAAACAACAGTGTTTTAAAAATAACAAAGAACTCCTGGAAGCTCTTCACAGCATCAATTTTAGGATTAATTACAATATCTGCTTGCCTTTAGGTAACTTTTATCTAAAATAAAAAACATAAATGCTAAGCCTTACATGAAAAGATATTATGTAAACATTTAGAGTTTCACAATATGTTTTTTTTTTTCTAGAAATATATATAAATAAAATGAATATGTGAAAAGGCTTGTCTTACATGAGTCTCTTTCGGACACAACTCACACTACCAAGGGACCACCAAGAATCAAATGCTTCCTACATGTCCTCACATGGCGAGACACTGAGCATACACTGACTTTCCATGTATGTTATTAACTGGAGGCCTTGTTGGAGAAGCTGACGATGCTGTAGGCACTTCCTAGGCTGTAGTTAGTAACAGGATACAACCCATTAGGAAAACCTGTAGTAAGATTTGGTGGTGGTGAATAACAGTAATGATGGTGGAAGACACTGGCTTATTGCCAAATGTTCACACGGGGATCTATTACCAGACAAACGGGCCTCTGTGCTGCATGGTAAAGACCAGGGTGGTAAAGCTCCAACCTATTGTTTAAACTAATCATAAAAGGAAAAGTAAAGGTCACAACAGATGTGCACGGTGAGGTAAGTAAAAGTTGTTCGAAAGGGGCTGACCTGCTTTCCCTGAGGACCCTCTGGTCCGACGTCTCCATGTGGTCCTGGTAACCCCTGGACAGAAACGACATACAGCCATTAATAAAGAACCATCCAGTAAGACATGGGACATTTTGTGGTGATTTCTGCAGCTATTTTCTTCAATATAAAGGAGATTTCATCTAGTTTAAGAGCTCACACACAGTATCCCTGGCAGTTAATATGCATATGCAAAGCTAGAATGTCATACTACCAATAAGTTATATGTATACTTGACCACAATAAAGTGAAGACAAGCTCCATAAACATTTGCAACAATTGCATATTTTATTATTAAAATATTACTGACCTGCAGGCCTCTAATTCCTCTTGTTCCAACTGACCCCTCAGGACCCTGAAGCGTATTATTTAAGGAAGAGCATGAGATCAAACACAGTATGTACAGTAAGTAGGAATTATTAAACTGAAAACATAATATTGCAGTATGTGTAGTGTCAACAGTGCTGTCATACCCTGTCTCCTTTGATTCCTGGAGTCCCGCACTCACCCCTCTCACCCTGTGTAGGAATTAAAGTATTGCACAGGCTCGATTCCAACAAAATAAAATGTTATCATTGTCATTCATCTAAATCACATACCTTCTCTCCTTTGTAACCTGGTTTCCCCTGCAAATAAAATAAATGAGATGTTCTGTGTGAATAAATTACAGAGGCTGTAATGAATATTTTATTTATGTTGGTCATGAATTGTGGCATTTACCTCAGCACCCTCTCGCCCGGGAAGACCACTCAGTCCTGCTTCACCCTGATATGACAGAAAGTTCACTATCTCATTATATCAATGAATAAGAGTTTATCCAAGCTACTGTAAAGTAAATACCTAAATACAGAGTAAACATTCTGAAATTGCTCGTATAAACAGATTTAGAAGAAAAACAAATAAAAAAAGAGATAAAGAAATGAAACATCCTGCATTCAGCCAAGGTTTTACCTACTGTAACAACAGTTAATGGACTGAAACCTTAATACATTTTAAAATTAATGTGAATAAGCCGTTTGAGTCCTAAACCCTAAAACTAAATGATAAAGACATAAAGAATGAATTGGTGATGAATAAATTGACGGTTTCTGATTATTCATAAATGATCCTAATAATTTCTAACAGATGGCCACATATCTGGCACATGACATGTCACGATTTACAGATATTGGATGACCCAGTTCAGGAAGTTTTTCCCAAAATGTAATTTATGTGTGGAGCAATGAGGAAGTATTATATAACTCCTGACAGAGCCCGGCAGCTAAGAAATCCATAGTACATATGGCCATCAAAAAGCACGCACCTTTAACCCTTTAAGCCCCGGGGCTCCATCGTCTCCGGAGCGACCCTTTTTCCCCTGGAGAATGAAACAAAGTGATGGTTGAGGTTTAATTAATTTATTCCATTGACATTTTGCTCTCTTCTTGGTGTGCATGGAAAACAAAATCAGAGAAAGGTAACTGGGCTGATGTCTGAATGCATGTTACATATGTGCTTATAGATGTGAGGACTGTATGATAATTGAAGCCATAGGTGGGCATGAGGTGTCTTGTCCACAGGGCCAGGGGTCATTGTCTTGAGCTGCACCTGGACTGCGTGTGTCAGTTGCTTTCCACCAGAAATCACTAGTTTGTGACCATTAAACTAATGAGAGCAATTATGAGAGCCTCCTAGTCTGAGTGTAAGAATTTGAAGAATCTCTGAGGAGAAAGCACCTGGTTAATGACAACACAGCTGTCTGTCAGCAACATGATAATCTGCCAGGTTGCTGGAAAGCTTGACATTACATGGAGGGGACTATTATTTGACGAGCAGATGGGGCTTGAGTGGAAGTGTGTTGAGTGGGGTGCCTAGAGAGGGTTGGGTCATCTTCTTCTGGTCTCTCTATCCCTAAGTAACTGATTTATGGTGGCCAAAGGTCCACTTTTATAGGGAGTGGAGGTCTAAATGTGGTGCCTCTGGTTTCCATGGGGGACATCTAATGTTAAATGAGAAATGCACAATAACTGGGTGAACCTGGGAACACAGAGTCACAACAAACATATTTCTCTGGGAATCGCTCCTCTCCTTTCAGCTGTTTCCATAGATTTGCTTTTAGAATGTGGGACCACCTATCACTTACTCTGCTTGTGCAAATGCCTGCAAGCTACACTGAGGGGAAAAGTAATTATCCCGAATGTTCAAAACGGAACAATTACCATTCCGAAGATATCATGTTAAATTTTTCTGCACAAGATTTCAGGAATCCAAAACAACTTGTGACACTTCAAAAGGAAACTCTTTGGTTGTGGGGATATGTGGAAGAGATTGAGGCTAAATACTCACCGCAGGCCCGCTTGGGCCCCTCTCTCCTTTCTCACAAGCACATTTCTGAGCCAGAGGGCACTTTAAAAAAAAAAGAGACATGTTAGATAAGCTGTCATGAATGTAATTCTATACTGTCAAAGTGGGCACCTTCACCAAAGTACACATTATTAAACGTCAAAAGATTCTATACATGAGTCTAATTGTAATGATACTTACTCCTTCATCAGCCAAGCTAGTCTGCAAAGATAAGAAAAGTTGATAAATGTCAGTCAGTGCAATAATATTGCAGTCACTGTGAGATTTGTGATGCAGATTTCTTATGTTCATTTAATGTAGCACAATATAAAACTACTTCACACAAACATTAATTTTGTGACTGATGAGTTATATGATGATTGAGGAGTCACACTGTCATAAATTCATGTATAAACACAAGTGATGTGTTACACAAGTTGTTTCTACATAAAGGAATGTAATGTGAGGTTGCAAGACAAACTAAACTCGTGCAGATGTCAAACAGTATTTTTCTAAAGCTGGGTAAAAAGCAGCGAAAGACATTCTTTCATTTGTTTCTCCAGAGCATTGTCATCATTCCATCTCCATACAAATACCTGAACAGGCCTGTCCATGTGTCTACTCTGAATAGATGCTTATTCAAAGCAAATACATCACTTTTGTTCCCAGTGTTGTCTGCTGAAAGACAAGGTATTATACTCACAATCTTAGTGATGATTTTTTCAACAATGTCTTCGTCCTGTAAATTATGGAGGAAGTGGGAGGCCGGGGCACTGGCGAGCAGGCGGAGTTGGGCTACGTTGGCTGGCTCGTTGGCTTCACGGGTGATGCCCAGAGTGAAGAATTTGATGCCCTGGTTCTTGGCGTCAGCAACAGCAGAGAAAATGTCAGGGTTCCTCGGGTGAGAAATACCATCTGTGAGCAGCACGGCTACTTTGATGCTGCCTGGGCTGGACTCCTCCAGGTAGATCTTGGTCATGTTGGTGATGGCGTAGGTGGTGTAGGTGCCGTGCCCGATGTAGACGATGGGAGTTATGCGGGCCTTGAAGTTCTCTGTGCCCCTCCAGTCTCTGAAGGTTTGCTCTGTGATAACATGACTGCTGTACTGAAGTAGGGCCACCCTCAAGCTCAAGGTGCGGCCGGTCTGCAGCCGAAGCCCTTGGAGTCTTTCCACCATGTTCATGGCAAACTGCTTTTCCTGCTCGTGATTGTCTTTGGCACTCTCAGAGCTGTCCAATAGAAAGGAGAGCTCCAGGCCACAGTCCTCATCTAGGATGGCTGTGTACAGACAGAACAGGATGAAGGACTCTCTAACTCACATTGTTTTATATTACATTACATTACATTACTTTCTCTAAGCAACTGACTTGTTTCTTACAAATCTATATAGTTTTCACACAGAGCAGAAAAACTGTAGTTTAGTAGGCCACCAGTCAGAATAAGACATGAAGTGCAGGCATATAGTTTTTTTGGTGCTGTAATATATTGATTAAGCAAAGTATGGGAAATCATACAAACACAAAACCCTTTCAGTCTAAATATAATATCATGGCAACATGATGGTGAATTTCCTGAAACAAAAAGACAGTTTTTGGTATCAGAATAAGAAAGTTTTCATTCATTGTATTTTTCATTCATTTTCTTACCTTGTCCATCATGAATGTTTGCAGCCTGAGGTTTGTTCTTGAATTTCTTGCTAGTTTTCCTCTCCTCATAAAAGTCTTGGGCCCAGACACCGGTCAGTGCTGTGACCAGCAGCACTGACATAAAGGAGGGGAGCATCCTTGTCCCAACTATGGAGAAAAAAAGCAACAACAATTCAAATTTCAATCAGTGTTACTGTCCACAAAAGTAGTTTCTCCATCAAATCAGAGCAGAGCAGCTTGTGCATCCATCCATTTTATTTGCTAGGCTCAAGAACATGTCAGAAAACAGTCAGATGTAAAAAGCCAAACTAAACTGCTGAATATTATATAGTAAATATATTAAAATAACTGAGCAATCATCCTCACATCAACTCACAGTCCAACCTCCTTTTGAAAGTTTGCAATTTCTATTCTTCAGTGGCGTATTTTGAGTGCAGCCCAAAATGTAGACAACAGGAACAGCAGAAGACCGGTGTGCACAGCGAGGTACAGTTAGCTCATTGATTGTGCAGCAGCAGTAGCAGCAGTGTCAGTCGTTCAGTCATTCTGTGGAGCAGAGAGTGAGAGACCCTGAGACACTCACTCCTCTTTTATAAGGAGGCAGAAACAGACCAGATCCCATGGAGCCTTGCCAAGACTCCCATTCTGCCCTCAGGGCAGGGGACGGCTGTGGGATATGTTTGCAACAGTAAAAGCAATGTGTGTGCTGAAATTTGCATTTTAATCACTACAAGTACAATAAAATGTCGATGTATATGTTTACTAGGGGGTAAGTCATGTTTAAACACCACAGAATTATAATTAGCATGTACTGTAATTGCACGTTAGTGTATTTGTCATACTTTTATTGAAAAGTTGCACAGCTGACAGATACATAAGGAGGCATATTTCAACTTTTTTTAAACTCATGATACAGTTAAATAGTTCGATTAACAGCTTAATACTGACGATTATTTTACAGTATTTGCTTTAAGAGGATAAAATGTCTGTTATGATGTATACGTTTTAAGGTGCGTCTTAGATAATATTGGTTTAAAGCACTTTCTTATGTCCATAGTGAGCAGGAAAGAGTGCAAAAGTTCTGAATTTTAGAGTCAGATGTATCTTTGCAAATCTCCATTTAAGAATATCTGTTAACTAAGTCAGATAAGCTTGCAGAAAAATGTTGAATATAAAATACACACCAGAATAAAATTTAAAATTTGGCATTGATGCCAGAATAAATTCCACAGGTAAGGGGGTTGGGGGACTTAATGGCAAAGGCCTGGTCACCTTTGGTCTCCACCCTGGACTGTGGAATGACCACAACAGCCCTGCCTGAGGAAAAAGGGTTAAAAGGTCAGAGATTTCTAACTTAATTTTGTAATGACCAAGCAGTGCTAGAAAAGGGGAATTTGATTTGTTCTGTTTTACTTAAGAAACAGCGGATGATCACAGTATTCTCAACAGAAACCTCAACTACACAACTCAACTGGGCAAAACATCTCTGAAATACCATCCAGAGGGTTGCATGAGCAATGCATATTTATCTCTTTTTAGATTAGAAACAGATCTAAAGAGATAAGTTAGCACAAGCAAAGAGGGCAGTACTCTCAGTAACCTCAAACAATGAGTATGTGTGCTGTTTGCATTAGATTTATCTCTTTTTGGGTGCTGTGATTTGTTTCCTTTAATTATACCTTTATGAGAAATGGAGTTGCAACTAGCAAGTGACATGCAATAGATCTTTCAGAAAATAAATAACTGAAGACTGTAGGTGGTACTTCACCTTCCAGACCCTTAAAGATGGCCATCTGACCACTGACTAGTAGCCAGAGGTGACCTTTTAGCATGCATACTCCTGTTGTGATTTGAAGATGGGGCTAGTCCTGTGCAGACTGGCTGAGGAATCACGGAGGTTTCTGCATGCTGTGCTTAAGGTGAGGAGGCTTTGTGTTGCAAAGCTCCAGGCAAGAAGTAATTAGAGGAGACTTTCTGACACAAAGGAATGTTGAATTGAATGATGGCTTGGCAAAATCCACCCGTCACTTTACTCTCTCTGATGAATGACAACCATTTATAGTGTTCCTATATGCTGCAGCAACAGTTGTGAGAAATTGTGATGAAGTCCCGGTATATGTGCGTCCATCACTGACTGAATGTTTTATGTGTATGTTCCCCCGTTATGTTTGTGACTGCTGGTGATTACAGGTTGCTAATGAAACATTTTAAACCTGTGATAAAATATCACTGCACTGAAGGCACTATACCTGTGACACCAGTACAGGTCATATACAATGAGGTGTGAAAAGAACTTGCAGGGAGACCAACTGGATCAAAATGATATACTCTGACTCTGACTGAATGACCAAAAAAAAAAAAAAAGAAAGATAAAGTGCATCTTTGGCAGGGGATTTTCCCACATGAGCTATAAATTGTGGTGTTTTTAATTGTTGGGTTCACTTACATATATCAAATAAATGATGCTGTAAAATGTAAACAAGGATCAGAGTAGTTTAGGGTTAAGGAATGTAAAATCTAAAATAATTATTGTTGTTGATTGAATTAAGTTATTTCTTTATCCAATGAGGGAAGGTAGAAAGATTAAAAAAAATATTGCAATGACAGATTTTCTTTTAATTGCATTCATCACAGACAAAATAAAATTAATATTTGTTATTATTTGTTATACTATATTTTATATTATTAGCAGAAGTAGTAACCAGTAGTTACCTGTCGTCAACCAGTAGTAACTTGTTGTCAAAGGGGCTCTAAAGTGCTATCATTAGCAAGCAAAAACCTGACCTGTGACACTTAGAGGCATTTAGTTTGGAAATATTCCTGTGTTACATGTGACTTGTGTATCTGCTGCCTTTTGATCCGCTGGTATTGAGAGCGTCCCGGCACTGGTACCACTAATATTAAATTTAAGATTCTAGCCCTTTGCAAACTATGTTGGAGACTTGCAAAAGGAGGAAGTGGTTATAAAATACAAGATCTGCACACTATGGTCCTGTGCAACAGTTATAAATGAACAGCTGCAAAATGCCTAAACCAGTGCTGCCCAAAGTTGGCCCATCACAAGGTACAATTTGGCCCGCCAGTTTTTTGTGTGGTAAAATGCGATTTAAATGTGTAGGATCCCTTATTGTTATTAATTATTTTTCATAATCTTGTACCATTTTATATCTTAACAATACAAAATAATAGGCATTTGCTTCTGGGCTGTACGTACACCATAAAAACCAATATGGTTTGTAACTTGATATCTTCTCTCTCAAGGACATTGTTTATGGACAATAGCAATGATTCATTTCAGGTTAACAATTCTTATTCTTGGGAATTTTTATATACACAAATCTAAGTATATAAAAGCAAAGCCAAGGTTTAATGTTAATTTCATAATGAGTTTCTTTCTTATGTCAAAACCCTCAAAGCCTTGAAAAGTAAAACATTTAGTTAAACTTTTTTGTATGATAGATTAGATAAGATAACGATTTACTCGTGTTTGTTTTGGTTTGTCTTTCCTGAGTGTATTTTTTATGCACCTGATCTTTGTGTTTTGTTTAAGCCATGATGTTTGCACATATTTATCTCTTACCTGTTCCAACTTCTCCCCTCTGGTAGGCGCTACAGAGCACTGTACACCCAAACAAAGAGACACAGGAACAGTTTCTACCCATAGGCCACCACTCTGACCAACAGTTAACTGCCCTCTACAATAACCTTAGGACTCTAAATAGCCACTGAACCTGGAAACCCTTTATTACTTATTTTCCCATTGTTTCTCTTTAAAACATACATACTATTCTAATACATCTACCTATGCTGTGCATACTGTATGTACTGTATCTACAGTAGACTGTCATATCCACCTACCCCATGTACATAAAGCTACCTGCATGTAAAATATTTATGTCAGCATCCTTTGCACTCTGCACTATTATCTACTGTCTACAAATGTTTGTTTATATACATATATAACAGTACATATTAGTATATGTCTTTTTTATTGAACTTTATTTATGCTGTTAGTCTGTGTTTGTGAAAAGGTGTATAGTTTTGTGCTGCCCTCTTTCGGTTAAAGAGGGTATAAAAAAACGACAGACCGCGCATGCTCAGACAAGCCGTTGGGTTCAGGATCACCCATAGCTGAGTGAGCGCTTCACCTTCAGCCATCTTAACCATGTTGGGTGCTGTGGGACGGTGCTGCAGCGGGGCTCTGCAGGCTTTAAAGCCTGGGATCAACTCTCTGAAGACAGTCAATGGGAGACATGCGACTCTTTATTCGAGTGAGTGAATACATTTAAAACCATGGGCCGACTTGTCAGCATTATATGTCCTTTGGGTTGGTCTTTAACGTCAATGTAGCATGCTCAGGGGGGTCAGGCCTCATATTTACTATACAGTGTCTCCATTCATTTGCAGTCAGTGGGTTTTTATTTTATTTAATTAAAGCAGCTATAATAACATAAATGCAGTTATTTAGTCTTTTTGTTGCTTCATTGAGACGTTGTAGCTTAAGTTGAGTCCTGGTTCACTGTCTCCATTCAATGACCTTTCCATGTACCTGAGTACAAGTCAACGCCACTGGAGACACTCAAGTTTTCAGCCCTTAAAGTTTCATCAAAATATGGGAAAATGCTTCCTGAAGCACCAACATGTGGAAATAAATATATTATGTTATTTGTTTTTATCGATTTTCTTATATCACATGCATGCACTAATCCTTGTTTATTCTCTGTAAGATGTTTTGATCGGTCAGCTGTCACATATAAAGTCACTTTAAATATGTTTCCATTAATGTCCTTGTCCTTTTCCTGCCATTGTCCTTTCAGGCAGGGGTTACGCAGCCCCGGCTGCTCAGGCAGCAATGGCCAATGGTCGCATAGTGGCTGTGATTGGTGCTGTGGTGGATGTCCAGTTTGATGAAGGCCTACCCCCTATTCTCAATGCACTGGAGGTGGCCGGCCGTGAGAGCAGGCTGGTGCTCGAGGTGGCCCAGCATCTGGGTGAGCGTGCTGGGTTGATACTGGGGTTGGAATATTGCTCGACGGGTCACTGTGTGGATGTCTGCCATGAAAAGTAAACAGTGTCTTTACCGTCTCTCCTCATGTGTTTCTTCAGGTGAAAGCACAGTCAGGACGATCGCCATGGATGGCACAGAGGGGCTGGTCCGCGGTCAGAAGGTTCTGGACACTGGAGCCCCCATCAGGATCCCTGTGGGCCCTGAAACCTTGGGCAGGATCATGAATGTCATTGGAGAACCCATTGATGAGAGGGGTCCAATTACCACAAAACAGTAAGTGTTGATCATGATGCTGTTATTCTATATCAGCACAGATCAATTATTGGCCAATAATAATAATTTATTTTGAATTCTTTCTGCAAAACGATTAATTGGATTTATGTTTTATGAAAGCTAAAGTGTGTTTGTGAAATTGTATCAGTACATTTCCTATAACATGTAGAGGTGACAGTGGTTTTTAGTAAATGTCACTCAAAAATGAAAAAAGAGTGAATTAGTAGATAATTATTTAATTTGCAGGTTTGGGTCTTTTTTTAAAATTGGATTTATTTACAAT